TGATGGAAACCCTACATGACCTCAAACCTCTTTGTTCGCGTAACCCGTCTTGGAGAAAGTTAATTTACCCTGTGATGTTTTGTAACCTTCAGTTATCATTTTTCTTAACACAGAAAACATTGCCAGTTCAACCCTTCCTTCTCTTTACCATTCAGCTCAATCCGTTATTTGAAAATATTTACAAGTATCCTCTCAGAGCTCATTGGGTTACGTGAACAAAGAGGTTTGAGGTCGTGTAGGGTTTCCGTCACGCGCCATAAACCTCACACCAGGCTAGTCAGTAGATGAATCACTGGCGCGAATATGCCCCTGACTCCCCTCTCACATGAGGCATTTGAAACAGGGCATTGTTTACTATCATCCAATCAGCGTGGAGCAAACAGCGTGACGGTTGCTCCCTGGCACACCAAATCTGTGCCGCGGATGCCGATCGCTTGGAAAGCTTCATTTCTCGAAAGTTTTTTGGCAGTTAGTGCTTGGATTTTGAATGGATCTTTAATTGAATGACAGGAGGAGAAGCGTCAACCTTTTGGTCTATCTGGTGTTTGATTGGGAAGCCGGGCGATTCTAATTTCTGGGTGAAAATCAGCTTCGAAAATGGAGCAGTTGAAAATGAGCTTTCCACCCTTGTCTCCTTCTTATACAGTAGAGTAACAGTCAACGCAAAATCTACCAAATCGCTCAAATTCGTCATTTAGAACCACAGAAACGACAATACAGGGCAAGTGAGGTAGGTTTACATTTATTTTGAGCCTTAACATAGACAATGCTCCATATAAGTTTACGATATTAGGACTCTTCAATATTCTCCCATACATTTCTTTATATATTTCGAACAAACTACCAGACACGCCGCTTGTGTGGGCCCTCTGTGCAGACACGCCGCTTGTGTGGGCCTCCTGTGACTAATCTATGAGAAAATGTGTAGCAGCCAGAGTCGATGATTAATAATTAGATCTTGGGGATTAAAGGGTTAACTGCTGGTGTGAATTTTAGCAGTCAGGATTTCATTCGTTGGACATTGGATTCTTAGATGGTCCAAGATTACCTGCGGTGTTAAATATAAATTATAGAGTAAACAGTGGATAAGTTTTCTTTAAATCTATTCCTGATTGAATTGTAATATTATCTTTCCCTGGTTTTCTCTTTGTTAATCTTTTCATGGTCTATTTTTGTGTTGTGAGTTTACTTTGAGTTTAGGTTATATAAACGTGCTTCCTATGTGATCAAGGTGTGGTCCAAACAGTGTATTTGTTGGGTCAGGTGTTCAAGAGGCAACCACACTTTGATGTGGCCTGATGCTTGACAGCTGTGAAAACAGTTTACTAGACCTTCCTGATAACAAAATCTTCCTTGTTTGGGCAATTGTGAAGCAGATATTTCACAAGTGCAAAGAAAGGAAGAAAATAAAAAATGAGTCATTCAGTGTCTTTGTCTGTTTAAAAAAGCCTTGCATGTTTTTTTCTTCTGACTGACTCTGACAGTTGGATTAGTACCTACAGTTGACTCCCGTCATTGTGGACACCATTTAGGGTAGATTTAGAGTCTAATAGTGAGGGTCCATGCAAGCTTTCTTTAAATCTTTTCCTGAGGGGAAAGAGGAGATTTAGTGTCCAGTGATATTGAGAGTCCATGATAGCTTTCTTTATATCTTTTCCTGATTGAATTGTAGTATTAACAGTCCCTGATTTTCTCTTTCTTGGTCTTTTCATGGTCTATTTTTGTGTTGCAAGCTTACTTTGGGTTTAGGTTATATAAATGTGCTTCCTCTGTGGTCAAGGTGTGGTGCAAACAGTATGTTTGTTGAGTCTGGGTGTTCAAGAGACAACCACTTTTTAATGTGGCCTGATGCTTGACAGCTGTGAAAATAGGCTGATAGTTTCTAAAGAAACTGTTTGGGGCTGCGTCGGTGGGGGTAATGAAATAATTTGAATATATCAACAAAGTTGAAATGTAAATTGGCCACTGTTATGATTATAAACGCTGACGTTTCGAGCGTTAGCCCTTCGTCGGAGCGAAGGGCTAATGCTTTTACCATTTCAACTTTGTTGATATATTCAAATTATAGCTGTGAAAATAGTTTAGACCTTTATAATAACAGAATCTTCCTTGTTTGGGAATTGTGGAGCAGATATTTCACAAGTTAACAGAGAAAGGAAGAAAATAAAAAATAAGTAATTCAGTGTCTTTTCTGTTTAAAAGAACCTTTCATATTTTTTTTCTTCTTACCAACTCTGACTCTGACAGTTAGATTATAATTATACCTAGAGTTGACTCCCATCATTGTGGACACTATTGGGGGAGATTTAGCATTTGTAACAGTGAGAGTCCATGATAGCAGGGTATGAGAGAAAAAAAAATGGTTTTGTCTTTAAACATTTGAAATAATAATGTATAACTATGCAAACTTTAAGTTTCTAACGTGGCCTGAAACACTGGAAAAGATCCAGCCGTAAGCAGGAAATTCTCATGTTCGCACCCAATTGAAGAACGGTTTCTTTATTTTCCTTTATTGTAGCTGTGTCGCTTTATATTTTGTGAGTCAAGGTTTTGGACCAAGTTCTTACGATAAGTGTCTGTCATTGTGAAAGAAAAACAGAGTGAAATGTGCTGGGAATTTTATTACGTCCCATCTTAAGTACTTCGGACCTCTTTTGATGCATTTTACACAGGTCTGTACCTGGACCTTGATCAGAACCTGCCCCTGCCATCGCTAACTATTGTATTTCCTTTTTTTTACAAAACTGTCCTTTATATTAATTTATTAATTTATTTATTTACTTTTTAATATAGGGGAGTGCCTCACATGGGCCTCACTTCCCATTCGCACCCCCTCCCCTTTTGGGTCTTTGTAATATTGTACTAAGTGCTACTGTTGTGTTTTTTTTTTTTTTTTTTTTTTAGAAGTCAAACCCAATATAGTTGTTGAAAAAGAAAATAAGTATAAAAAAAAAAAAGGGCATTTTCTTTTATCCTCCCACAAAAAGCTGGAAACTCAATTTCCTTCGCACGCAAAGGTTCTTTTTTTTTTTTTTTTTCTCATTTTTTTTTTTTAGAAGTCAAACCCAATAAAATTGTTGAAATAAAATGAAATGAAATGGGAGGGCATGAAAGTGTCTGCATTTCCATAATATCGAGAGTTCATAAGAATGGGTGTTTGTTTCAGTCATTTCTCTATGCATTTCAAGGGAGGCTGGCTCTTGTCCACAATATAATAGTGGGATGTCTGTAATTATAGTGATTTTCTGCAAGGCAAGGGTCCATTGTATGTTATATATTAAGATAAATTGTTCACTATAATTTGCAAGTCCATTATCATTTGCCATTTGCTATCTACTTTTGAAATTCTTTTAAATTATCTTTATTTCAGACAAAATCAAGGAATTTTAATTGAAACTATGCAACAGGAAAATGCAAAGTTTGCAGAATGTCATTCAGCAAGAAACCTCCTGGTCATGGTAATGAATATTTTGCTTTTAACCCAGTAATTTAAAGCAAAAATGAAATTTTTAGTACTCTCCTAATAATAATATCAATCTTTTATTAGGAAGCTGCATCACAATAGTGGTTTACATAGAGGTCCTAAACACTAGATGTGTATTATATAAAAATCCAATTAAAATACAAAATAGCAATATATCATTTTCATTAGTAACTAAAGTGGTAGTCAAAATAGGAGACTTACTGTGCCCAGGAGGGAACTTGGCATGTCACCAAATTTAGGATCAAGTATCAGTTGATATGAAAACCACTGAGGTCTTTGGAAGTAAAGGGTCCTGGCTTCTTACCCAAATTTTGCAACAGTAAATTTTCTCTTATGAAACAGAGTTTGCACAAATAATATTTATTTTTAAGGTAATATCCGTTTTATTATAAACCTATTTTGTAAATTGAATTTTATGATGCTTGTGACCTACTTGACCTGTTTCCTTATAGTATGTTTCATGGAAAGCTGTTGCTAGTCTTTGTTGATCTCTTTATAAAGTTTGTTTTGCAATGTCTTTTTTGTTCTATCTACAAGAACTTCTGTTACAAGAAAAATAGCCATAGTGCAGCCCTCTTGTTTTAAGATCATCAGTTTGTGTCACAAAAGCAGATCAGGGCTCCAAAAGAATTTGTGAAAAAAATTCCTGTTCATTGAAGAAAGAGGGATTTCTCACTGTATTTAAACTTTTTAATTACTGGTTATACAATCTCAGCTGATATATCTTGCCTTTCAGCTTTCTTATGTTCGAACTTATCATTCCAAGCTCACTAAAATCCAACATGATATGGATGTAATTGAAGACAGGGTTGTCAGATTGCAGGTAAGAAAAACACTGGTCAGGAGTGCTTTATATTCCATTTAATACCATTTACCCTTCCCTAAGATTCTCGCCAAAGCTTAAAATCTGTTATCATGAACTGTAACTCTTGTGCTAGGTTATGGTTAGAAAGTTAATGTGACTTCAAATAGTTAATGCCAAAAATTTGAAGTCAATGGCCAACTCAAAATATTGGGGAAATGATAGTCTGTACAGATCTAGAATTGTTGATTTTTACAGATATTAGTACATCTGAGTAAGATTTATACCCTTCTACTATACTTGTGTATTTGTCTGTGTGATTTGTTTATTTTTTTTTCAAATTCAATCCTTTTACTCCCCCGAACGACCAATGAGGAATTTCTCCCTAGTGATGTGAAATCAAGCTCTTGTTATTTGTTGATTCTTGCATTTAAAAAATCATTTTGATAATGGTTATTTTTGGTTCACCTTGAGAATCAAATAACCTTGATTGTATGTGTGCTTTCCATAAGTTTTAGTCAGGTGGGCATATTTAGAGAAAGTGCAAATGAGAAAAAGAGATTTTGTGATAACTTGCACTTTTAACGTATAATATTAGCAGCAGGAATTGTTTCATCTGATTCTGAAGTACATGTGAAAAATGGAGTAAGTTTAGCTGGTGTTTACGGGATCACCGAGTCAACTCTGAGTCCGAGTCAAATCCGAGTCCAAGTCAAGTGACTGAGTCAGTGGTTTTTTTAAATGGTACAGATCAATCACATTTAGGGAGCTGTAGAGAGTGAAAAAAAAAAATAGTGAGCTTAACTTTGTTGGAGAAAAGCTCGATCAGAACAGGGCTAAGAAATAAACAACAGACTCTAACATCGAGGTTGACCTTTTCGTCACTGTTCTTTTCGTCATTTTTAATGGTCTGATCGACCACATATTCGGGAAGCTGTAAAGTAGAGAGTAAAAAACCATATTGACATAACTTCGTTGGAGAAAAGCCCCTAAGAGGGCTAAGAAATAAACAACAGACTCGATCTCAGCTTGAGGTTGAGCTTTTCCTCGCTGCCCTTTACATCTTTACAGAAGTCAAAGTTAAAAAAAGATTTCTGTTACTAATTTAGCTGAAAAGAACAGTGCTTACGCATATCATAGTTAGTAGTTACATATGCGCATAGTTACATATGCGCATAGTTACATATGCGCATAGTTAGTAGTCCCCCTCTACTAACTATGCGCATATGTAATCATGTGTAAACTCATGGAAGATGTACATATGATTTTAAAAAATTCGCACTTGCCACACGCCATTCTAATTGACAAAGACCTCGTGGTCTGACTGAAAAAAGGTATACAGCTGACCTCTGACTCGGACATGACTCGGGCTCGGACTTGACTCGGAGAATGGATTCACTCAGTTTAGCTGTTATATTAGGGTTCAGCATTCAACAAAGTTTGTAAATTTTTTCAGTTTTATCTGTGTTGTAGCCAGTTCAGGGGCTGAAGGCTAAGGTTTCGCTCCATTTGTACTTCAAAGATATCACGTGATAAGGAACATAAAAGGGAAAGGAATTCCTTTTGTTAACCACACCTTCTCGGGATCATTTTCTAGGTCAACTCTGTTAAAACCTTTTGCTTCTTGAAAAACCTTCCACTAAGAATAGTTTGTGCAGCTACCACCCCGCTTCCCAAAAGCTTGTAATGAAATTATTGTAAATGGTATAATAGAAAATAAAGGAGTGGTTAAATCCATAGATTCCTGTATTGTGCATTATAATAAAAAGATCGTTTTTGGTGAAATCAATAAAAAAAAAGAATTTTGTGTCACAAATTTACTTGGTCAATAAACTCTTGTACAGAATTGGGATGACAAAAAATACATCAACTAGGGGATATTGCTTGGTTTAAGATCAATGTTGTAGAGTTGAAATTACCTTGTTTAACAGTAAATATGTCTGGCAGAGAGTGCAAAAAATTGAGATTAAAATCTTGGAGTAAATTAGTAAATATAATTCCTCCTGGCTAAAATTCAACCTGGTAAGATTATGAAATGAACAGAATATTTACCACACTTTAGAGCTGGCATAACTTTTGAATAATACTTAGCTGTTAAGTCCTTGAATGGACCAACACCTAAGGCCGTAAAGTAACTGACTTAGCAATCATTGTAATGGACTCTCTTTGAAAGTCTTAGCTAGAAATTTTAGTCTGCTTAGAGTACTTAGCATTGAGCGGTGTTGTTTTGTACCACAAGTGTTGCACGGTTACATGTAGAAGGGGATATGAAAGAAGCCATACAGAACTTGCAATGATGATTTGGTCATGCTTTTATGTTTGGGGTTTGGGTAAATTATGCAACTTATTGCAGATTAAAAAAAAGATGATTTGTGTTTATTTACATTCTTAGAAGAGAGCGATGAAACTGAAATCACAAAAGGAGAAAGAAGAACGTAACAAAGTTGAAGCACAAGAACGACAGTTAGAACTGGAACGACAACTCACCGCTAAATTGGCATCAGACCATCCACAGTAGCAAGTTGTAGGACTGTGTGTGGCAAAATACTATAACTTAAAATTTATTGGTACTGCAAGATCAAGAACACGGTTGAATTAAGGACTACTGATTATCAGAGATTGGTTCAAATAAAAGGAAGCCACATGACCAAAGGTTTAAAAAGACACTGACATTGGGAAACGTCGCTCAGACAAACCGTCAGTGTATGTCGAGATCAGTAAAAAATAGAAGATGTTAATTTACCTTTACCTTTATAGAGCATTTAAGCCAGAATTTTGAAACAGGCAGGGGTGTACTCATCTTATATTTACTATAGAGTAAAAGCAGACTAAAAGAAAACATGTTTAAGCAGAACACAACGGTCTGGTTGATGTATATTAGAGTATGCCGGACTCCGGATTGAGCCACCATATTGGAAGGTTTAAAAATTCTTTCACATAGCTACGTGATACAAGACAGAGGGAGGGGGGTCGGGCGGAGGGGAGGTTGTAAAGGAGGGGGATTGGGCGGAGGGGAGGTTGTAAAGGATGGAATGGGATTCCTTCCAATGGCAGGGGCGGTAACTATAGTTCGCTTTAGCCTCACGGTAAGTGGAAAAGAGCAGGTGTGCGAAATATGTTGAAGATCAGGAAAACAAGAAATAGCACAGAAAGCCTGTAAGAATTGTTTTTCCGCCCACTAACGCGCGTTCATTACGAAGCCGTTGTCTTGACAACAGCCGTTTGTCGTTTTCCACTAACTGACAGCTAGGAACAGTCTATGCTTCTTCAGGCTTTCGTGTAAGTCATGGTCACCCAGTCCTTTTTTTAGGTTCTTGCAGAGCTCGAAATTAACGGTAACCCGTTAACCAATGGTTGGTAACTTTCAACTTTGCGTTACTAAGAATGTGTCCAACTAACCCGACATGGTTAGTAAAATTTTCTAACATATTTAAATTATGTTATGGAAATAACCTTTACACAATAAATAATGTTTTAGGGACGGTTTATGTGTTATTTACTTGCATTAGCTTGTTTTCTGTCTAAAACAATTTGTTCTTGCCGTCTTTGAGATCGAATCGAGCTTTACAGCCATTTTGAGTGCTAAGGCCATGGATGCAAATTTGTGTCGAATGTGGGGATCTGGACACAACTTTATTGGATCTGCCAGGTTGCGAATCCATATTCGCTTGAAAATTATTGTTCATGAGCTTCTGGTAGTTCGTTATTGAATTATGCAGAGTTCTTTAATTATGGTAAACGAGAGGGAAATAAAATAAGTGCATAATTGTCAACGTTTTAAAGGTCACCATGCAATTTCAGCAACTGTTTAATTGTCCTAGTTGTCATTAACAAAATGTTCAATATTTGAGATATCGTAACTTGTGGGCTTGGACACCAAACTTTAATTTATAATTTGGTTAGTAAAAAAGATGTCTACTAACTCGAAGGGTTAGTAATCTAAAAATTAAATTCGAGCCCTGTCTTAAAGATAGCCGGAATACGATACGAAACTGAAAAACCGTTTTCCTATGACAGAAAATAAAACACACGTTCCGTTTGCCAGTTCCATACGAAAACTGAAAGCGAAATTCAAACTTGTTTTTGGCACTATAGCTTAAAACATAGGGTACAAAATGAATTGGAATTCTGTTTTCGATTCTCTGAACGAGGAAATTTGAAACTAAAATGAAAATCGGATGTTGTAAGTTGACGTAGAAATCTGTAATACCCGCTTTTTGTTTTAAAACTTTTCCCCACCGTCTCGAAATTACCACCTTTTCGTTTATTCATTTTCTTAGTACTCGTTGCTCATACTCATTGTAGAATACGCGAGTAAATTGATTGCGCTGGACCAAAACTTGTTTAGCTATGCATATTTTTCAAGTTTCTGGTTGAAAAGGGTACGGCTGCACCGGGTGGACCTGGTCCTGCCTTCCCAGGATAATTCATTCATATCTGCTACCTTATTTCCTTGAAGAAGCTGGACTAAATTTCCACTTTGTATTAGGCACTCTTTTTCTCTAATTAAGCCCTTACCCACTTGTCCTCAAAGTGAAGCAAGTACATCTATGAAATAGATGTACTTGCTTCACTTTGTACTTGCCTCCCGGTTAGCTCAATTGGTAGAGCGCCGGACTGTTGTGACCAACTCTCGGGGTCTTTAATTAACTGAGAAGAATGTGCTACCTTTGTAATAATATCTGCAAATTAATGGTTAGACTTTCTAGTCTTCTCGGATAGGGACGATAAATGGAGGTCCCGTCTCCTGCAGGGTTGGGGTAGGAGACGTTAATTTCCCACACACGAGATTACTGTGTGATGGATGTCCTCCCCGGGGTGGGATGGGTGGGTAATAAAGGGGTTAGGTGTCAATTGGAACGAAAATTCTGTTCCTTTCTCCTGCCATTCCTGTGGCGAATGAATTAAACTTAAATTAAACTTAAACTTAAACTTAAATGCCTTATTTTCTCCCACATATTTTACATAGTGAGGATGCAAGGAAAATCTGTTTCTATCTCCACTTTATTCATAATTTTTAAACGAATATAAAGGAATGAATACAGAAGAGTAGTTCCCTCTCGGTCAGGTTACTTAGAGTTATTGCTAGTTTTTTGTTGACTTAATAAGGGCCGTCCCTCAACATATTCTGTTAATATTTTTTAAAAAATATATCTGTATTTATACATGTTTTTTTCAGGAATCAGTCAATTTTTCCCTCGGCTTAAAAGTTATCGAGTAATAGACCACTTTTATAGATGGCTGCCGAATTAATATTCTATTGTTTAAATTTAAATTAGCCCTTCTGGCCTCGCTTGAGATAATGTATTCTTTTGAATTTTTTACTGGAGAACAAGGCCAGTAGGGCTAATTTAAATGTAGACAAAAGAATATTAATCCGGCAGCCAGAAACCCAGCCGGAAACATTTCCGTGTCATCCTCATACTAATCTAAAACAAAGTCGTAGTTCCAAAGGCAACAACTGATGTTTTCGCCATGATTTTCTTTATCCAAGAACTGTATGCACAATAAGGTAAACGCAGGTAAATGACCTTCCGTCCTTTTATGAAGGGTATTGAAAATGCCGCGTTTTCTCTTAAGACATTACGCAGAACTGGCGCACCCCAGCTTCCAGGGAATCCACGATATCTTGTCGTCGCGCAAAATTTCCTTTCAAAAGCAGACTAATCAACGGAAGAATTAGACGAGCAGTTCACACTAATTGAGCAGCGGCAAAACCTCGGTTGTTGGCAAATCCCAAACATATCGGTTAAATTCACTTTTTTAATTCATTCTTCACAAGCAAAAATAAAGTTACCGTGATGCATCTGATAAAATAAATACTGTTGGAAGACGACCTTCAGTTAGTGGCCAAGACCTAATCCGAAAAAAAAAAGTTTCCCAATGTCTGGGTTCTAAGTTGTCCCGGCATGACTCCATTGAACTTTGAACCTTACCTAGTATTTGAACCTGGTCCAATGATTTTCTTTGTAAGCATAAACAGCCACAAATAAATAAACAGAAATACGTGTGATATCATATGCACCAAAGAACGAACATGAAATCAAAGTCAGCGATAAAATCGTATTAACAATGAATAAATAAATATATAAATAAATAAATTGATGAAATAAATGAAATACAGCATTTTGTCTGAGCTGTGTTAAATAACGTATTTTGCTTCAGTTAAAGATAAATTTCTTTCAAGTTCTGGAGATGTGATTATAGGGCAAGGAGGAAAAACAAACATCAATACGACTTATAACAGTTGGCTTGTAATAAATAGAAAGACAAATAAATGAATGAATAAAATCGTTCCATTTTGGAAGAATGTCTGTGACCAATGCAAGAGTTTCCTCTCTAAATTAAACAAATTCTCAATAAATTAAAATACTAGAAAGGATGTTCTTAACTTTGAAAAGACTATTATTGCACATGTATAGGGAAGTTAGAAAAATGAAGCAAAACCGAATCTCTTTTGCAGTTTCTTTAACTAAGTCTATGTATAATCAAAGTACAATTTTCTTCTTCATTGATAAATGAAAAATGTATTAAAATACTAGAAAGAGAGTTCTTGGTGTGAAGAGGCCATTATTAGATCATAATAAGAAAATATACTGCTACCACCTGTTTTCCATGAAACAATATCTATTCATAGCAAATTTAACATACATATTTCTCCTTAATGAATAAGTTCCTAGAATAAAATGAAAACTAGAAGGTAAATGTTTTTGGCTTTGAAAAGGCCATAAGTAGGTTAAAACTCGTATCAACAATTTTGGATAAAACCAGTTTGCAAGCAACATTATGTACCTATAACTTAAGGGTGATTTACTTCTTCATGGGCATGCTACCATACAATTGAAGTAAATAATTTGTACTGCAAGGAAAATTCCTAGCCATGAATAGGCCATTGATGTGTAAATAAATATAAGGGAATAAATTGATAATGTCAATAATTTCTAATTAATCCACTGCCTAGTGCTTTGCAAGGAACAATGTCTATCTCTTATTAATTAAAGAATGACTTTCTCCTTTATGAATAAATTCTTAAAAATTGAAATTCTAAAACATGTTCTTGGCCCCTATTTTATTATAATGACAATAAATAAATAAAATAAATAAATAAATCATTATCTAAATTACAGCTAGCTGCTTTTAAAGTTCTTTTTCAAGCATAATATTATTCCAAAATCATGTGATCCAGTCTATGGATTAAGTGCATGGCTACATTCGCTCTATAAATTAGCTGGTTTGGTGCGTGGCTGCCGACGGCAGAAACCTGACTCATCATTTTCTTTCTGTGTGTAATGTTTTTTGTGTGGTTCCCCTATGTTGGTTTCTTCTCTGTTGAACTTCCTTTGCCCAGCTGCAAAGAGAGGAAAAGCAAAGCAGGTCTGTCAGAGCTATAAATAACAATTATACACATGCCATTTCACTGATGTATTCCACCCTCTATAACTTTTCTTTTTCAGGTAAAAAAAAAGGACACTCTTTAGGAAGACACCTTTTCCAACTGTACCACTTGAGGAAGTAATGATTCTGAAATCTACAGACCATTACTCACAACTTTTTGACATGACTGCTTCATGGGCAATAAATGCAGTAATGTTAGTCTGCAGTCATGAAGGGAGTGTTCAGGCAAAAGTAAAGACACCTAGTACCAACCAGGGGGCCCACACTGCTGCCGTTCATCCCAGCTTCAGGGGCACAAAGTGATCAGGAGTGTTGCTAATCTCCCCTTTACAGGATGCTGTTCAACAGGAGGTAACCAACCCCTTCGTTTCCCTATATTCTTGCAACATTTTCTTCATGTTTCCATGACAGATAGTGAGTCCTGATCTGTACTCTGGGTTGGAAAGAGGTACTGTAAGTGTCCCACCCAAAAAAACAGTCAACATGATAACTCAATAACTGTGTATCATGCATGGATAAGAATTCCCCCAAAAAATTCAGATCAGATGTAGACCTTAAGAGTGGAGGTAGGCACAGTAGGCTATGTCTAAGGTTGGAAGGAAATGCACCATCTCTGCACATGCAAAGGATGTTGCAGTGTAATGTTAAGTGCACATTATAAAAATCATATTTATGCAATTCTTTCTCAAATGGGAAAAAGAGGCAGACCATTGTATTCTCCTGTGAGAAAGCACACAACTTACTGAGAATTTGTCTACTTAAAAGGTTTCTCTAAAAAAATTATTCTTAGCACAAACCTGTTTTAAGTGTGGCCTTGCTGTGATTTACACAGTTATGTAGCTCTCCATTTTGTAACCCTTTCCCATTTGCTACTCTTTTGTGGCCTTCATCTTTCACAGAATCATTAGGAATCTCTCTAGTGTCTTCCACACCATGGCTTTTTCCAATAGCAATACGAATGATGAGCCACACAATGAAATGAAACCACCATACGTCCATCAAAAATAGTAACCAGAGCATGGCATTGAAGAAGAAGTACAAAGGGGCTTCAGGAGTGATGAGCATACTGATGTAACCACAAGAGTAGAGCACCTTGGTTGGGTAGATGTAAAGGCGACAGTAAAACCTAGGATGCAACACCAAAAAAGTCTGAAAAAAAGTCTGGACTCTGCTTATGTGGCCCATTGGTCAAGGAGCTTATCCTGGTCTTGAACTAAGCATGGAATAACTATGAGTATTGCTACACGCCGTGGATAGGATCCTAGTTTATTTCCAGTTGGGCCCCTGCATTTCCCGACAGCTTTCCCTGAAAGTTGCTTGTACACTACCATACACCTAGGTGGAGACAGGCACTGTGTGAGGAGATTTTTTTGGGCAGGGACATCACACACTCGTGCCTGAACCAGGTCTGCAGCAAACCTGGAACTTTTAATCTGTAGTCCAGCCCACTAACGGTATGACTGCCATGTTTCAATCTAAAGTACCCAGACAGGTCATGTAAGAAACAACAGACAAACACATTGAATACATCTACACTTAATTTAATAAATATCTTATCTATCCCCTAAATGCTTAATGGAAGGTGGTTACAGTGTATTAAATTTCCAAGGCCAGAATGGATTTGAACGTCAGAATTTTGATTAATGCATTAAGCTAAATGGAGTTATTAGAGGCGTGGAAAGCTGACACAACAAAACACAGTCAACAGAAGAGGCTTGGACATTCCCAACCTGACACAATAGCTCAAAATATATAGGTGGGTTTTCCATTTCAGAGCATGGCTTTGATGTAAACTTAAAACATTAATTTTGTGACTTTAATTCTGACACTAATTTCAATTTGCTTACCAAGCTAACGCAAAAGACAAAAATCCAACTATACTGATAACATCTGGTAGGAGATGGTATTTTCCTCCACGTGACTTGAAAGCTATGCACAGTTTTGAGAATTCAAGTATAATATCGGTTACGTCATGGACAAATAAGACTAGAATGCCAATTCTGTGGTACCTGAAAGGTAACATCATGTTTTCTTCTCATTACAAGGAAACTTTCTTCACTGGCCAGCTATGTGTCTTTTGCTCACAAAGAATCACAAATGGGCAGCTATCAACCTATATTCACCATCAACTGTTCTTAACTATTATAAATAAGTCAATTACTAGGATATTTTCATAGCTTTGCAGACTCTATGGCATGTATGAAGGTTACACAAATCAAACCAATAGCAACTTTCGCAACATGTGCCATTAAAAGAACTGTGTTCATGAGCATTTAACTTTAATTTACAAACTAAGGTTATTAATAACTTTAAATCTTACCTGATTGCAAATGAGAATAGAATGAGTGAATTAGCCAGAATATGATGAGCAATCATAAGAACAGAATCCCTTCGCCACAGATCCATAAAAAGTGTGGCATATACAGAATGAAAATAGAATCCAGCTTCTACCATATATAGAGTGTAGATGTCTTGAGGAACAGGCATTCCTCTGTACCAACCTAGATAAAGATGCATATAAATCAGAGGGGAGACATTTAGTAAACAAGGACTTTTGTTATATAGCTAGTCATGCATTCATGCTGCATAAAATCAAAAGTAATATCACTTCTGATAAAAAAGAATGACCTAAATGGCCTAAGATTATCTGAATTAAGTTTTAGAAGTGATAAATTGTTCTTTTCGAGACTGACCCCAGTGTGGTCCAAATTCAAGTTCTCCCATTTTTAAACCCTTATACATGTAATAACTATTACTGTTAAGACAAGTAGTACATAAGAATTAAGAGAAGAAAGGAAATACAGTAATCATCAGCTCAGCAAGATCTTCATTGTTCAACAAATCCTCCTATTGTATTCGTTCATTATCATAAGAAATGCATAGAATATGCATTCTTATCTTGGGGTGTCAATGGTCAGTTACAATTATATATATCTTATTAACCAAGCGTGAGGGCTGTACTGGGAGAATATCGGCCCAAGGTCTTGACAGTACGGACTGAGCGCAGCAAGGTCTGTACAAAAAAGACAGAGGGCGGATATTCTTCCAGTACGGTCCTGAGCAAGCTTGGTTAATAAGAAATTTATTATACGACAGAAGTTCAAAGGGACACAAGTGCAGTATCATTCGGGACCATTCGGGACAGTGTGCCATCCAATACTGAGAGAATATTGACCCGCAATAGTACATTTTGATTGGTTGATTTTAGTTATTGGCCCTCTGACTGCCCAAGTTGTGTAATAAAAGTCATTTCAGCCCTCCCCATATGGTACTGTATGAACACTAACCTTTCCAGCAGTCACTGGTGTCATGGTAAAAGTTGTATTTTCCATTGAAAAGAATGTAGGAGCAGTAACCAAACACCAATGAGTAAAATAATAACTTAAAGGCACTTTCTGATGATTTCTTCAAATCTCTCTCTAGCAGTTGGCACCAACTAAAAAGGGGCTTTGAGACAAATTATAGAGTTACAAGTTATTACTGATTTCACTTTTAAAAATAAATAAACATGGTAATCAAAATGAAAAAATTTCAAACTAGCATTTAATCTGTAAATTAATAAAAACATACTGTATGTGCCAATTTTAAAATTGAAACAGTTGCGGATTTCCAGTTTAAAAATAATACTTAATATAATCATATTATTTAATTAAACTGATTGATTGTTTGTAAACAACAACCACTAGGTGACAATTCAAATTAACAGTAATTGTCATAAAAAGGATGGTGTGAGTTAACGTTGGTGCTGGTTATTTATAAGTAGTGTCTTCAAATCAATGGCTGCAAAATCAGGTAAATGAATTCAATGAGAAAATATACATCAAATATTTGTTTATAGTCCAATTGTCAGACACCATATAGACATCACCAATAGTTCACAAAAATTTTTATTTATCATGATAAGGGAATTCAGTCTAAAGCTACAATTTATCTTTGGCCAGAAATGAGCTATTAAATAATAAATTACAAGTAAACTTGGAGACAATTCCCCAATTAGTTTTACCCCTAAGTCTCCAGTGTTCTTCAGTTAGGTATTTCTTGATGGAAACCACATTTACGGTCAAACAAAGTGAAGCGTACCCCTCAGGATGACATTAATGATTGATTATTTGAATATTGAACCCGCTAATCGTTCAGGAGCACAATAACGAATTGAATATTTGAACATGGAACCCACTAACCATTTCAAGAATGCAATAATGGATTGATTATTTGAATATGGAACCCGATAGCCGTATTTGTTTTGAAAAGGTGTGGATCATTGTTCAAATGTCTCATAGAATTTAAGGAACTTAAGAAATACAAAAGGGTAGCACTACAGGTGGGGGAGGTGGTGCATGTGTCCCTCCAACTTTCAACTTTGGAACAACTGAAAATTGTGCAGGTTGAGATATTAACTTAAGTGTGGCAAGCTAAGCCCTATAAGCTCCTAATGGACCAGATAATCATAAACTGCATACAAGCAATACACTGTAAGTTGATTGATTTAAATTACTGCACGATTCTCCACAGTCTCACAAGGAAATGACTGACAAATTGCACATGACAATTCAGTTTGTTTCAGCATCAAATGACAGGCATGGGAAATTTGTTGCGAATTATAATTTGTTGAGCATGATGAAATCCTGATGTTTGCCAAATTTTAGTGATCAGAATACTTAGAATACCTAGAATTTCCCAAAGGAGCAATGCCTCTGACCCCCTAGTTTCTTGTGCCAGTTATGCCCAGTAATATGCCCCACCAAGGAAAAATCCCCAGTGCCCCCCCCTCTCCCTGCCAAGGCTTACATGTAGCACATACCAGCAGGATACATCACATCCCTTAGCAACTATAGTATAATTTATATTACAACACATACATGTCTACCTGCTTATCAGCAAAGGGAGCCCTGGGCTTTTAGCTTGAAATAAGTTTCCCCTCTCAGCCTTCAAATAACTCTCTATAAACAAATAACCATTGTCGAAAGGCTAAAGTAAAGACTTACAAAAACTAACAAGTTCATCTCATCATTTCCAGTGCTTTCATCACACCATAATTAGCTCATACAGTGCATAAAAGCAAAATATTTCAATAAATTGGCGGGAGTTGAAAATTTAGATACCAAGTACGTTTTTGAGAGGTGTTTTCTTAGCTGTCTGCCTTGTTTTAAAAAAATATCCAACAACAAATCTATCTTTTTTTAATTAATAATTTTAATTTGTAATGCAAAAATATATCAAACTGGTGTCTTGACAGGTGTCTTGTTGAAATAACTTCCTTTCACCACAAATGCAATTTGGATCACGTCTGATAAAATGCCTCTTAAATAAGCATATTTTAGTAGGAATTTGTGAAAAAACATATCATTAATCTTTTCTACACCTGCGTATCTGTGTGTGTTTTGATGAAAAGAAAAATTACTTATTATAATATGTGGTGACTACACACTGTAACTCCCTTTGTGTGAAATGATTTCCTAGTCCTGTAGCTAACAGGAATTGTGTATTGCAGCAAAAAATTATACCAATTCTAGCCTCAAAAAGCAAAGACTAGATAGAAATCTGAACATTTAAGGATTTATAATGATTTGACAAACATTTGATGCAAAGATTCTCCAAATTTTAATATATAATAACGAAAACTATTGAAAAGAAATCTCTATTTTGAGAGAATGTAGATGAAAAAGGTCCTTGAAAAGATTTAAAATATCAAAATTAACTTTCAGTCCCACAAATTGGAAAATAATTCACACAAACCAATTTGAATGTTTTGAAGACTTGCAAATTAAAATTTAATATTAATTAATTCCCTTCATTCAAATTTGTTGTACGTAATTTTTTCACAATTTTTTTCTTCCCATCGGTTTTGTGTAAGCTCTCCTTAAAAAAAAAAAAAACAGAAAAAAAATATTAAATAAGATCAGAAATGAAACATACCAAACTATCAATATTCGTTTAAGATCTCTAAGGATCAGAAGATTATCAAATAAAAGAATCCAATTCACAATAAGCCGCTTATCGGCTACTTATTCCAAAATTATGAACACAACAAGAATAAGACTAATGCAACAAAAACAAGGTCACAGAGGTTTAAATCAAAACATCGTGTTTTTAGAGATGATGGGGACAAGAAAAGTAATCGAACTGGATGAAAATTCATTTCGAAAAGTGTTACGTGAGATGAAGCACAAAGTAATAATCAACGTTGACCACATTTAGGAGGAACGCAACGGGATGGTAATCTAAACGGTTCCAATGATTCAAAGATTCTTTCTTTGTTGGAAAAATTTCCTCTGTAGAGAAAGCCTATTGCGATCTGTTAAATAAGAGACCTGTTCTATCACTGAGACACCTTACTAAATGATCAATTTTAGTATTGAATTTTCCCATGATCACCAGTATTGCAATATGATCGTCAAAGCAGAAACATCTTTCAATATCTGCTCAGTTTCAGCTTCAATATCATCACACGGAAGTTCGAAAGTTGCACGTAAAAAAAAAAAAAGAAGGCTAATGATTATCTTGAATATGACAAAGGGCTTCAGGTATTTGAAGAACCTAAATATTTCGTGTCACGCACCTTGAAAGCTGCAGCTGTTAAGAAATATCGCAAGAGGGTGAAAGCAACGCCAAGCAGAAGGCATAGAATTACGTCCCTCGCGGATATAAAGCTATAGCTAGAAATCTCTTCGATGAAATCTGTCAGGAACGATACTCTTGGAGCTCCATCTTTCCATTTAATTTGGAACTGTTCCCATATTTTGGTGAAGGCCACCAAATAACCAACCTCCATACTCGAAACCGCCTCCTTGGTGTCCACGCGTTAGGAAAAGCTGATCGAAAGACAAACATGGGCATGGAAGACCGGTGGAGGGGAGGTTCAGGAGTAGTATCAGATGATTTGATACTTATTAGGGGAGGGGAGGGGAGGAGGCAGTAGCTTGTACAATACATACTTAGGGGAGGGGAGGCTTAGGAAAATTCTCTGATACTCACCAGTACTCCGGTGGTTTTCACAACAAATAAGAACGAGATCATTTGTCCCTTGAGATTCATTCAGATCACTGTGTTGTGAAGGTCAGATATCCTATAACAGGCTAAGAAAAATGCTTTCAATCAGACATTCTGGTCGAGTTTCACACAAACTTGTTTCGAGGAGTTTCAGCACTTCTCTTCGAAGTCAAGCTCAGCATAGTCACCAGTTTGTTGTAGTTGGAGGGGGAGCTGGGGGCCTTGCTGTGGCTTCTACGCTCAGCCGTAAATTTCCTAAATGTACTGCTATTATTGAACCATCTGAGGTGAGAGAGTTATATTCTCGTTTAAACTTATGATACAAATTCTAAGCTAGAAATCAGAGCACGGCGACGAATGTGGTCGCGAAGATTATGAATGTTCAGTTATTCTTGTGAATAAGAGAAGTCATTAACGTACGTTCGTCTTTGAGCTGCAAAGGCGATGTATGTTTAATTAGTTACTCTTACGAATAGTTCGCAAGAGTATCTAAACATAAATCGACTTTCAGCTGTATTTCGGAGACTTAGTTTCTTATGAACAGGGAGTGAAGCTCGGCTTACCAATTTCTCACAATAATTTATTTTATCTTTCGTATGTGCCTTGAGCCTAGCTTTAATTTTTATGTCAATGACATCATCTTCCACTCAAGTTTAAATGTTCGTGCGGTAGTGCACGCCAAAATTCTCAAGCATATCCAATTTAATTACTACTATTGCGTAATTGCACAAGAGCATCCCAAAACAATAGATATTCATAAATAGATCAGACATTATATTGTTGTTCAGCACCACCATTGATTATGAACATTTTACCATGGAAGTGTATAGGGCTGTCATGACACTCACAGGAGGGTGATTTTGGGTCAAAGAGTGGCATAACCTTATGAGAATTAAGGGAAATTTTGTGTTTGTTAAGAATTGTATTTGAATTAATACTCACTGTGAGACATGTGGTTACATAATATAATGCTGATCAATGTCAATTGGAATTAAGAAATACATAATAAACATAAATAATAGATGACAATCAAAAGTCAAACTTGTTATCTTTGACCATGAACAGCATAAACATGCAGTACATGAGAATAATTTCTTTTTTGTTCCATTGTACCCCTATCTACGTATGCTTGCAAAGTTCCTTTGTGTGCATTATCTGTTCGTATAATTTTTGTCCTATATTACTGGCTACTAACTTGATAAGTGCCCTCTCAGTTAAGGCCCCCCCCCTTCCAATAGGCACCCCTCCTTTTGGTTGAAATTTGAAAAAAGCACACAGGTGCTTATTTGAGGAAATGTGGTATCTAAATGCAAATTCCTGTTGGAGGACTTTATACTTTTTTTTTTTTAACAGAATCACTATTATCAGCCACTTTGGACATTGGTTGGAGGTGGAGTTGAACGTCTTGAGAACTCTGTGCGGTCTACTGAAAGCCTCATCCCAGGTGGCTGCACATGGCATAAAACTCGAGTTGTGGAATTCAATCCTGAAAAAAATTTTGTGATAACGTCTGATGGAGATGAGGTTAAGGGTTACTTTTATTGCAGCTATAACTATGATAGGTCAATCACGAGTCAGACAAAAAGCCTTAAGTTACTATTGAATTAGTCTCCTTCACAGCTGTCTTTCGGGATGTCACGCAAAGCGTTGCGTGACATCCCAAAAGACGGCTGCGAAGGAGACTATTATTGAATATGACTGTTGGGGGAGGGGGGGGGATTCTGTGTCCAGGGGAAGTGGGTTTGCTCTCACTGACTTAATAGTCAGGGGTTGTAGATCAATCCTTGTTCCTGCTTGGAATATGAGTTAAAGAGTGAGCCCTAATTGTAAATAACCTGATTTTTTGGTTTCATGTACTATATGAAGTGATAAAGAAGCTATTTTATTTTTTGCAGATTAAGTATGAATTTCTGATTGTTGCAGCAGGTCTTCAGCTCAGATTTGATAAAGTATGTACCAATAATTAATTGCTAATAGAATGATCATATGATAGTCATTGATAGACAGTGTCTTCTTCATTAGAGTAAGTGTTGATGTTGTAAAAGACCAAGTTTTGTTTTCTTTGGGGACCGACAAGGTTTTCTTTTTCATTTTTAAGAGTGACCAGCTAGTAAGTTCACTTAGATGAACAACTTCAAAAATGTAGGAGCTTTCTACAAAGATTGTTAAATAAAAGATAAAATTTCTTCACACTGGGCATCTGTGAGGTTAAATCTTTTTAACAAGTTATTTGATATGAGTGGTATAGTTTTTGATAAGTGTTAGGGGATCTGTTGAGAAAATCCATTAAGATAGTTATTATGATTTTATTTTTTGTAACTTGTAACTATTAAAAATAGGTAGATATAATTGTGTGGATATTGGGGTTTTAAAAACTTTGTGAAAGTTAAGGTTACAAGACTGAATACAGTGTCAGTGTGTGAACTAAAAGTTTTCTAACTCTAACTAGTCTCATAACTTTCTCTTTAATATAATAGGTTGCTGGTCTAAAAGAAGCCTTAGGAACCCCTGGTGTGGGCTGTAATTATTCTGCCAGCACAGTGACAGATACTTGGAAAGCTCTACAGAACTTTGAGGGAGGAAATGCTATCTTCACAGTACCTAACACACCTATTAAGTGTCTGGGTGCCCCACAAAAAATCATGTACCTTGCAGAAGATTACTTTCGGAAGGTACATGTTTTTGTTTGATAATTTATAATATTTCAGAGAATCTCAGGGGTATAAAGCCGACTCTTTACATGCTGACATCACAAGTATGTATACCATACCTAAACCTGCCATGTACATTTTCTTATACTCTGTGTACTTATTGGTCTGATAACCATTCATTTTAGTAGAATCATGTTTCCTGCCTCAAAGAATATAACACTTCTGAATCAGTTATAAAGCCACTTTAATGGAATTCACAGTTTTAAGAAAGATACAGCTTATTGCTTTATAACTAAATAGGATTTGAATAGAGTTTTTCATCACCTTATCAGTCTAGGATTTTAAACGTTCACTCTATATGACTTGTAAACCTCCATTAATAATTAAATATTTAATTTAATGTTGTAGAACAATATTCGTCACAAAGCCAACATTATGTTCAACACCTCACTGGAAAAAATTTTTGGTGTGAAGAAGTATGCTGACGCCCTGACAAAAATTGTGGAGAAGAGAGATATAAAACTAAATCTCAAGCGAAACTTGGTTTCAATCAATCCAGAGAAAAAGGAAGCTGTGTTTGAAGTTCCAGATGATACAAATAGTGAAAAAAAGTTACTAGAAACCTATCAGGTAGGTGTCTCTCAGGTTCACAAAAAGCAATAAATTATGGATAATTTACTACTTTTTGTTAGTGCTCTGAAAATAACATCAAAATTGTTGTTAATACTTTTAAGTACAAGTCCCTAAATCTGTCTAGAGTGAAAGCTCTGGGCCACAGTAAGTTGCTGTCCATGAGATGCATATCAAAAAATATAATTAAATATTTTTATGTAAAGAAATATGAAGATAGATTTGTATAGAATTAAGCAGTTCCCAGATCTTTTTCTCCTTACAATGTTATATATTAAGGCCAATATGAGAATAAAGAAACTGATCACCAACTATAGAAGCTCTTGTTCATTAGACAAAGTCAGCTGGTCAGTATCTTAATTAGGAAATGAATGGCAAACAGTATGGAGAATATCAAGTGCATACTGTTGATACAGTATAACGCCAAGGGTTATCGATTCTAAGATTTAGAGGTAGGTTCTAGGAGAGGTTACACAGTCACATTAAATAAATATTATTAATATATTAGGAATTCAAATTGAACTGCATTCCTAGTCCTCAGCTAACATTTTGTGAATGATTTTCATTGTTAGTAGTATTTTATTTGAATGGGTGGCTTCTCTTTGCAGTATGATTTCATTCATGTCACTCCTCCCATGGGACCAGCAGATTGCCTGCTGGGAAGTCCCATCTCTGACCAGGCTGGCTTTGTAGATGTGGACAAAGTCACCATGAGACATAAAAAATATAACAACATCTTTGCCATTGGTGACTGTTCTAATTCCCCCAATGGCAAAACTGCTGCCGCTGTGGCTGGCCAGTCTGGTGTTATTAAAGCAAACCTGTTTGCAATGTTGGATGGGAAACCCATGCCAGCTCAGGTATTACATTTTCTTTTTCTTTTGTTTTTTAGATTTTATCCTTGGTTTATTTACAGTTTTATAGTTGAAGGTGAAAATAGTATTGTCTGGTATTGATTCCATTCATCAATTAAATAAGTTTGTATTTGTATGTCTGCACTGAATTTTTTCTCTAGTATGCAATGTCTTGCCATCATCTTTTCTCTGCACTAATGATCCCTCCACATTCACTTGCTTGATTATAATGTGGTTATTACTATACTTAGTCTAACACTACACCATGTTGTTCATCATTAAACCACATATAGATTGAACAACAAAATGAAATCAAATTTTTTACCAGAAATTCAATGTACTAAGTACTTGTGTGTGTACACTTTTTTCCTTTGCACTCCAGTATGATGGCTACACATCATGTCCTCTTGTCACAAGCTATGGCAAACTTATCCTGGCTGAATTTGACTTCAATGGTGAACCTCTGGAAACATTTCCATTTGATCAAGGAAAGGTCAGTATAATCAGTGATTGTCAGTAAAGAAATGCCTTAGTGGATGTCGAGCTGATGGAAATGTTCATCTCAAACTAAAATTTCAAAATAACATGAACTTTTGAGCTGTTCATATTCAGGTACTTGCCAATTTTGGATATATATTTTTTTATAGCCTTGTAGGTCTGACATTAAGCTTTTGGAATTTCGGTATTACCTTGTAGCTGCCTGCATAAAAGTTATCACATAATCATAATTTACAGCTTTTAATTTTTAGGAGCGATACTCAATGTATTACATGAAAAAAGACATACTCCCAGAAGTCTATTGGAATGGATTGGTCAAGTAAGTCCTTTGAATGTTGGGCCGATTTGTTTGCTGTTGGCAATGTTATGGTTTTAAATTTGATAGCTAGAATTCTTAGGTTGATGTTTGTGTTATTTACAGAGGTTAATGCAAACCAAGGCCTTGATAATGCTCACTGTCAAGTGAACACCACATCCATTCATAATAATAATTGCTATATTACGTTATACATGTCTGAAAATTATCACTTGTAGGCTAGAAGTATATACCTTTAACAGGTTTACATTTATGAAAACCTAGGTATGACAAAGTAAAAGAGTACCTGCAAGGTTAAGGTGCATGACTGTTTTTCCCAGATCGACTAAAATGTTTAACAAATCTTTTTTCACTTGTTTATTACATTTGTCATATCATTAATGTAAGTAAACTGTTGTATATTTTGTGTCTTTCAGGGGTCTTTGGCCTGGTGTCACCTCAGTGAGAAGGGCCCTTCACTTAGGGCTTAAAAAGTAGTCCTTTTGTAACACTTTATGTCAATCAAATGCAAATACACCTAACATTCTTCTCACCGAAGTATGAGGAGCTTTATGCTTGCTGTTAAATGCACATGCAATATAAAAGGAAAATCACTTTTCTTCAAGAACATTTTTTAGCTAAGGAATTCCAACAAGTCTGAGTCACAGGTACACTCCTGGGTGCTCTCTAAAATAATTTTGGTGTTGTTAAAAATTAATTTATGGTTCAAAATGTCAAGTTGTGGTTGATGGATACTGAAGTATGAAAAAGTTACAAGTCATTGAATGAGCTGAAGAGTGGGGAAAGTTGTTGATTTTCTGTAATCTTAAGATTTCTGTCTACTAGTTTAAAATCCTGCCAGTGTCTAGTGAGTAGAAAGGGTAGTCAGAGAGGTTTGCTCATTTTAATTATTTTTGGAGTGAAACAGTTAGTAAGAATGCTTAATTCTTTAATAGTAGCTAGCACAATATTAATTAATTTTTACAGCAGTGTACATGGTCGACATACATGATGTATGCCATAATTATTATAACTTAACATAGCAATCAAGATGTAAAATATAAATTCAAAGGTTGTGATTTTAAGGATATGCATTATTGGTCAAAAAGCAAATAATTTTTTCAAAATGACTATGAGAGAATTAATAAAAAAAAATACACAACAGTTTTTGCCTGTCAGTGTTTTTTTTTAATATATTGGAAATGAATTGATTGGCAAATGTGATGAAAGTAAAGGTTTGTGTACAGGTTTCCATCAGATAGTGTGAGTAATTAAGGGTTTGTTTGTGTTTCCCAAGTCACCAGCTTAGCCTGATTTTAGGAAGAATTCACTCTTAAGATGATGCACAGTTCAAAGAATTCATTTCTTAAATACATGCACTGATCTGAAAATTGAATTGATTAAATGTCAGATTGATATGCTATTTGACGCATTTGATATGCCAAAAAAACTAAAGATAGCCTGGCAGCAGGTTCTCTGATCAAGGATGGGGCAATGAGAAGTGAAGGACAGCAGGAAGAAAAAAAATGTCACTTGAGGGAGAAGTATGTGGGAGAAAAGCCCCTCCCAGCCACTTCACCAGGGACCAGTTGGGCAGGTCATCCTTGGTGTAAAAACCTAACGAGGTTTTCTTTGTTTCATGAGGTATTGTTTTGCTGTACGCTATTGTTTATAATGTTTTGTTGTCTTTGTTTAACGTCACTCGTGAGCTTCACAGGTTTTTACACCAAGGATGAGCCAGTTGGGCCCTTCCGGGCATGTTTACTTAACAGACTAAAAAGTACTAGACTGTATGATTTGGTGGTCTATGATATGGTTAATCCCTTCCACATGTAGCTCTGGATTCTAAAGATTAGCAGTCTGGCACCCTGACATATGTCATGACTGTATGTCGAGCATGCAAGTTTAAACACCTGCATGGGCCCCATGTATGCTCAGCTTCCCATGCATATTACAGTAATATGGCTGTGCATGATTATTCTAATGAGTTTAATTTCTTGAGCTTGTTATTGCTTATTTTTGTCCCCATATGTTTCTTGCCACCAGATAGTGCCAGCTGCCAACATATATTTCTTCATACTTGTTTTTGTAATGTATGATTTGTCTGAGGATTCTTATTTTAACTCTCTGTCTTTCACAATAGAACTAATCACTCCATCTTTCAAACAAATCATCCAAAAAAAAATCTAATCAACAGTCATCAAATAAATTAAACAAATTTGAGATCACCATTTTGAATAAATTTATTGACTGATACTCATCACATCATATTTTGACAAATGTGAGTTTGAAATTTAGGTTTAACTTACTTTCAATTATGATTTACCCAATAATTTACCAAGCTAAATACTGATCTCTCTCACACAAAAAAAAGAACAATATAAAAACTGTAAACAATAAAATATTTTAAAATATGCAGTGAAAATGGGGAAAATATGATGGTGCCTAATTAAGTATACTGTTCTTTACTGTTTGGTTGCCAATGTCAAATGTGAACCCAACTATGAACAGGAAATTCTCTGTTATATTATACCTTAGACTTGCTTTACCTCTACAATATTAATGTCACTTATCTAAATAAGAAGCCATAATATATTAAATGCATAGTTACTGTAATACTTATATTTTAAAATTACTTTTCTATTAACAACAAATGCATGAGTCAAGAAAAAGTGTACAAAGGCTTAAGAACAATATTATTCTTTACAATGTTTGTAGAAGGTTTCAATTTTTATTCACTCTCCAGGTGATGTTCCCTGCTTTACTGTGAAACTCTGAAGACCATGAACAAAGAAGATATTTGTGAAATGTTAACTGTGTATCGAATAACAAATCCCAAATGCAAATACAAAACCCAAACAACATTCATTTGGTAATCATTTTGTGTTTTGAAGTTTATTGGCATGTCCTGAACTCCACTGAGTTTGATCAGTACACACCTGGCTTTACAGAATCACAATGTTCATGCTTTCCTGAGTTCCACAGTAATCAGTAACCATTAAATAATTTCTCCATATAAATTACTGTCTCTTTTTATAACATACTGTATACCATCAGATCTAGAGGGTATGCCGGCAGTCTTTCATGCTTATGAATTCTAGGAGTTTCTCACAAATCAACTATTACTTTACATTAAGATTTTACAATTAATTTTGTTCAAAAGAGGTTGCCTTTTCGAAGAGTAAAGAGTGTAATTAAAAAAAAATGATAATGTAGAAAATGTTTGACAAACACACTGTACACACTAATAGTCAGAGTATTTTGTCATCAAGAACATGCAGCTTCATCAGCACACTCATCAGGTATCTCTAAATCTTCATTAGTAGGACCTTGCAGTGATGAAAGCTTCCGTAGCAATGCTTCACCAAATGACTTTGTATATCCTGGACTCATGGAGTCTAATAGGGCATATATTGTTTCGTAATATTTGGAATTACTGTTTTCTTGTTTGTCATCGAATTTTTCGCTGACAATCTGAAATGAAAGAAAATTGAAATATTATATAGAAAGCAATAACAAAATGCTGCCACAATCACAGAAAAAGAGGGTAAAAAAGTTGAGGTTTAACCCCATGATGCCTGGGTGTGGCAATTAGCATCAAATTTGCTTTTATTACTATAATTATCACTGCTCAATCACACATTATGGCTACAAGAATAGAGGAAATGATCACCAACTAATGAATATCTTTATTGTTAAACAAATTCTCTTAGTCCACACTGACTGCAGGAAGTATAGCTAACATTTCCAATGTAGGAAGTATAATAATATACAGTGTAGAACAGTCTGGATATTAATAAAAAGATTAATGTCAGAGTGTAAAGGGTTTTATTACACGACTCGGGCAGTCAGAGGGCCGATAACTAAAATCAACCAATCAAAATGCTCTATTGCCGGTCAATATTCTCTCAGTATTGGACCGGGCACTGTCCCGAAAGGTCCCGAATGATATTGCATTTGTGTCCCTTTGAACTTCAGTGGTATAATAAATCTCTTATTAACCAAGCTTGCTCGGGACCGTACTGGAAGAATATCAGCCCTCGGTCTTTTTTGTACAGACCGAGCGCAGTAAGGTCCATACTGTCAAGACCTTGGGCCGATATTCTCCCAGTACGGCCCTCACGTCTGGTTAATAAGATATATAAAGAAGAGCTCTCAACTGAGAGTTGGAGTAACAACAGTAATATTCAACAGGGACTTCAAATCATGTCTTCCTTAGGGAAAATGGCAGAAATTAAACTTCTGCTCCTTGCCTGTAAACTGTATTTTATTATATGTGATGTGCAATGCATGATGACAAAAAAAGAAAAAAAGTGATCTCTGCACTAGCTTACTCTGAATATGAGACCCTTTCCTTTTTTTAATACTCTTTAATTTGGGATCAGAACTTAAATTGAGATCCATTGTAGGTAATTAAGCTTTGCCTTTTATTTCAATTTTTCTTTGAATCCAATCCTAAATTCATCAGTTAATGTTAGTTGAAAAATTTATCCCTTGAGGTAACCATGACAAAAACAATAATATTTGCATGGTCTTGCATTTGGACTAAGGATTGATTACCATCAACAATAAAATGATCTGTGGGTACAGCTGTATTCCAGATGTTTTTGAGGTCTGGTAAAGTATCTTTTACGTGAAAGAGGCACGACTGTGGAAAACATTTACAATATTCCAATTACCGATTTATTCTTTTCTTTCCTAATTCTGAATATGCAAATATGGGACTCTGTTTTTAATAAAATACTATGAATTATAAATGTAGAACCCTCCCAGGAGAATTTAGCTTTCTTCAAAGGGGATGGGACGGTTTTGTTGGTCTGGATGTTATTTTAAAGAACCCATTCCTGTAACATTGTCATTATACCCTATCAGGGAAAATTTTCGCCCTTTTTGCTGGGTTCATTATTGCTTGTTTCATTATTGCTTGTTTTCCATATATTTATTTTATTGGAATGGGAGTTCACAGTACTAAAAGTTTATTTTACAAGCCGTGAAGAATTGACTTTCATTAGCCTAGGAAGAAAATGAAGTATATTAAAAGTTCAAAACAACTTTGAGCCCAATCCTAAATTTAATTAATTTCCTCTGAGTTTATAACTGTAGAAAATCACTTTCTAAAGATTAAGTGGTTTAATTTTTCACCGTTTTAATTTTTCTTCCAAAATTAGGAAATAGCACTTCGACGTTTGTAGTTATATCGGCATGAATAATAAAACTAAATGCCAACTAGAACGGATCCTGTATGTTAAAACGACCCTAAACGCTGCTCTGACCCTACACGAATTACATCATCTGATTGCTTTCCCACTAACATATAACCTTAGAAAATCCCTGTCAACACCATAGTAGCTTAGGTATATTATGTTCGCTGATTACATTATTCTTCCATAGTGACTGATGTGAATCTGAGTTAATCACTATCAATAATAACCACAGATTCCAATATCAACCTCTGGTTATGCAAATCAGTCAGATAATGAACGTACTCACCCGAAATCCTGATACGCTAAGTTCGACGCAAATACTGCTGTGCTCTTTGGTCAAAATATTCAAGTAAACACATTCGCGGGAAGAAGGTAATTTGTTTGAAATGCTTATCTCTTCCACTGCGAATCCTATGTCATCAATCACCATTTCCGCTTCCACCTTAAAGTCAATTTCCTCGTCTTCCATTTTCAGAGTGAAACACAAAGAGTGCAGTTTTCAGTCCTACCGTGAAAAATTTGTGGAGATCCTTCTGACCTTCACGAGAACGGGAAATAAAGGAAAGGAAAGAAGTGAAAAGGAAATAAACTGACAAATTCACCGAGGAGGACTGGGGAGGAAATGAGGAGGGTATCCGACTGTTCTCGACCCTCCCGACCGTGTCCCCGACCGTAACAACAGACAGCAAATACAAAGCACTAGTGCCAGCAGTATTTCATAAAACTACCATGCGCCATTATTTACTGAGCCTGCGATACGTCGAGAATCCGGTTATTGTAACTTGCTCTTGGTCATGTCGTGTAAGATGATGCACAGGTGATATCTGCATCAGCGATTCCATCTTTCTTGTAAATTTTAGTCATCTTTCTTAAAATGAATTCTTTCAATAACAAGACACCGGCATATATGTGTGAGTATTTTTCTACTTCCTAATAGACACAAGAATATTGTTCGGAGAGGTAATCAAGATTGAGCGTTGCAGAATCAGAGGTCCTTGAGGGAATTTGTCTTCCATCATTTACGGGCATCGACATAATTATTTTGACGTAACCTTCCTTGTGTGCAAACGCATACAACTGTTGTAGTTCAATTTTACACTTGGTTCAAATGTTATTTTCCTTTGTTCTCGGTCATGTTAATGTATGATAATGAGTTTGAAACAAAGGAAAATAAAATTTGAACCAAGGATAAAATTGAACTACAACACAACAAACAGTTTTTCCTTGAAATCCAAATGTTCAAAAACTTAAATGCGACCGTGTCTGGTCTGAATCATGTAGTCATGTTAACTACATATATAAAAACGCTTGCAAGAAGCTCTACTCTCTATGTATTCTACATTGAGCTGGCGTTGACCAAGGTAGCATGTTAAAGGTCTATACAAGCGCTGTTAGATCTGTTATAGAATGTGCCGTACCAGTATGGCAATCCATTCCAGGTTATCTGTCTGACAAAATTGAATCCATACAGAAAAGGGCACTCAAGATAATTTTCCCATGTGCAGATAGCTACTCAGAAGCCCTCGAGCTAGCACGGGTGGAGACCCTTGCCTATAGAAGAGATAAGATATGCAAAGAGTATATGTGCAAAATGAAGGACTTAAACCACCCTCTCTATCCTCTTCTGCTGACACGCTTAGACGATACTTTTCCCTATAACCTCAGGCACAAATCAGACCAGTTGTATCTTTTCAGAAACGTTACTACCTGTAGAACAAAGCGCACCAAAGACTTTTTAACTTTTAAGTATTTTTAACAAATGTGATGTATGTTCAGTCTGGTGTATATAACTTGTACTTAATGTATACAGAAATGTACATAGTCCTTCTTATTAAGTTTTCATTGTATCATAACTCGTTAATTCAGTAAGTTACTGCAAGAGAGTTTAATAAACTACTACTATTATTATTATTATTATAATGCAGATGCCAAAGGTTTCAAGCTTGACAAATTTCTTGGAAATTTACAGGTATGTGGAAGTGGTAAAAAATTCCTCTGCACTACTTGTTTCAAATCAAAGAGTTGAAAATGAAGCTTTCTTACTCATTGAATCTTTGCATACGTAGCATATTAAATATAATAAAGGATTTGATCCTGGAATTAACATTCTATTATGAAGACTGATCATTCAGGAGAAGTTAGGCATTAAAAAATTTTCTTTTTATATCATATAAAGAAATTTCATGTTGCTGTTGGTCTGTATAGTAATACAGCACTGAAAATGTCAATGTGTGGTAAGAACATTAGTGATACACTCTGCTGTACCCTTTGAGCCACTTTTTTGTCTTAAGGCATTTTGATGGCATCTGTACTCTTTTACTTAACAAAGACACAGTGACATGGAATCTTTTTGTTAATTTGTCAAAATGACCTTCAGAGTCAACTCTGATGACTGCTTGAGGTTGCCAAAACAGCATCCCTCTCAATTTCACCCTCATCCACATGATCAGACTAGACGATCATTCATGTATATGACACTTTTTTTTCTGATCATTGCCAACTAGTTATTGTTCTTCATTTAATGGGGTTTTATTTTAACCCATATTATAGGCTTACAAAATTGCTACAGGTCAAGTGAACAAGAATGAACTAAAGAATATCTCCGAAAGATTTGGCAAGTATAATTATATTTAATTAGAGCTACCAAGCCATATCCATGTACCCCTTCCCCCTATGGAAAGCTTTCTAGACACTTTTTGACAAATGGGAAGCCTCCAGTTGGTGACAAAGATGATCTGAACTACCTCTCCAAATTTTCTTTAATTGCAAGGACATGATTGCTTATTCGAAGTGTTTTAACTTTTTTCTGCACATCATGCAATAAAGGATTTATTTTACAGCAAAAGGATGTTGATATAAATTATAAGTATCAAGAACATCTTCAAGTTATTATTTTGTTTTCTTTGTTCTTCCTCCTTTTTAGCAACACCATGGCCAACATTGTTAAAAAAATTTTGCACTTTGTCAGTCCACTCCATGCAATCTTTTTCTTGCATGGGAACAAGGCACGAACAAGGTGATCCTGACCCATCTTACCCATTTAGGTTGCTAATCAGAACACAGCATTCACTTCACATTACCCACGAGTGCTGCTAGCTGCATAAAAATCAATATATATTATAAAAGCATTTATAAAATTCATTGTAGGATCTGATGAAGGTGCAGTATTTGGAACTCTTATAGCAAATGCTTCCAGTAGCTCAAAAATAGAAGGTATCATTTTTTCCTTTTAATGTATGGACAAAACATCAAGTTTTCTTCAGTGGAGAAATAGTTGATGATGATTGTTGTTACCTTTTATATAGAAAATGGAAAATTCTATCAACTTAACTTAAAAGGCAGTTACTGGTTTGCAGAAAGTCACCTTGATTGAAATAACTGCTTAATTTAAACTTCTTGTGTTTCCAAGCACAAAAAGGGCCTTGTGGACCCAACTTTTATTATTTCATTGAATCATTAATTATGAGTCAAAGATATTCAATAAATCTTTTTTTGCAAAATTTTTGAAATTCTGTGGAGAAGAAAAGACTCTCTTAAGCTGCATGTGTGTGCCTTTTGGACAACCACATTTTTTTTTTTGGCTTTAAGGGAAAATAGGGCAACCACCAGCAAAGAGAAGGAGAAGGAAAAGAAGAAAGCAAAACAAAGAAGAAAGGGATGAGGAAAGTTCTGATCCCACTGTATCAAAGTCAAATTCAGGTTCTCTTCCTTTGACTTTAGATGAACCACTGGCCATCCCACTGGCACTATTAGGTAAAATTTATTATTAAAAACTAGATCATTGGATAATGCAATTCAAGACTTTTTATTGGCTTAGCTATTATGGTATATCAGCCAATATACCATAATCTACAAATATGGCAAGCGTATGTGTCAGCTTAAAATTAAAAGGGAGCTTAAAATTTAATAAAATTTAATAATTTAATTTAACGTTTTTAATAAAACAATTATTCCACTCATGCTTGTTGGATATGAGATGATTATAGCCAACTTGGCGCTATGCGCCTCGTTGGCTATCAATCATCTCATATCCAACGCGTGCTCAAGGAATAATTGTTAATTATAAAAAATCAGAGTTTCTGTTATGCTTGGTTTCAACATGTAGACCTCCTCTGATTGGTGCTAGTTAAAAAAAAGTACAATATTTTTTTTCTTGAAACAAATGCTATGGGATTCATTAGCTGAAATCTTAGTTTTATATCAACACCCTGATGATGAGTTGCTGGGTATGAGAAATATCTGAAGTCTCATCAATTGGCTAGTAATTTCCTTGTCCATAATGATTTAGATTTTGATGTCCCTGTATTTAACAATCCTAGGATTTAATTTTTTTTTAAAGTTTGCGGTTAAAATGAATATGTTAAGTTCTTCATGATCAAAATTTTATCCCTTAAAAAGAAAAAGACCTAGGGTATATGATATATAACTCAGGGATCCATAAGCTGTGAAAGGTCAGGCCCTTGAGGTTATAATAAGCCTAAGAGTTACCTTTTTTATCATGATGATAACTAGTGAAATTTTACAACTATGGATACCTTTTGTTTAAGTTAGTAATCCTGGGACTAGTCAGTTTAGTGAAACTTAATTTTATAATTTGTGTTCCCAGGTCTTTTGTTAATCATGCATGTTTGTTACAAATCAGAAAACTGTAGAATTACTCTACAGTATTTATTTTGTTCATTTTTTTCCTGTTGTGTAGCATACAAAGACTGTGACTCATCAGATGATGATGTCAACAATTTTAAAGATACACAGAAGGATGGACATTCTTCAAGTACAACTGACGAGGGTGATGACTCTGATGAGGGTGAAACTGACTTTTTTGGACTGAATTCTAACCAAAAGGAAATCAAAGTACAGTTGTAGTGGATTCTTAAAAGTTCATATCTCACAGTGCATAATCCTTAAACTTTTAATGAATTGAAGTATTATTTTTTTATCATGGAGAACTTATTATTTTGTTGCTTTTCCCTGTTCCTTTTCAGAGCTCAAAATCTAAAAATTCACCTAAAACAGGTGGTGAAAGTTCAAACAGATACACAACTACTAAGAGCCAGGAGAAGGAGGAAAAGTATGACATGCATTGTAGAGAACTTTACACCTTACAGTTATTAATATTTATATTTATTATAATTATTAATATCAGCTGGGAGGTCTGTAAAGAGAAAGTAAAACAGGAACAACGCCCAAGACTTAACCTGCAAAAACAAAATAATGTTTTATTGTTTTTGTTGTATGTGTGATTATATCCAGCTGGGTGCAGTCACTGAAAGGAATTAAAAACTTACGAGAATGGCCAATAATCATTTCTACATGGTGAATTTTGGTCTTGCTAATGAAAAAGAGAAAGTACTTGTACAGTACAGACAAGTATTCATCTACTTGTCTGTTATACAATTACTCACATTCAGTTACTCATTGATTGAAGATGGCATGAGCATGCCGAAACATGTCTCTGAAAAAGTTGTTTATTTCTTACAATATTTATCCTACTTGCTGCTACTACTACGACCTTATGAAAAAGAGAGAGTTGTTTTACTAGGCGTGTCCAAAGCCAGGAATAAAATAATGAAAAAAACCTGAGCTGCCATGAGGTTTGATTCCACCTGTGGACTCTGATTATTTTTGCCCCTACACTTGTGACAAAACAAATAAATATCTTTTACCATTTCTTGGCAGTAAGAACATAACACAATCCACATATTTTAATAAATAGAAATTTGCAAAACTTATCTGAAATGATGCAAATATTTTGTTTAATTTGTATTTTTCTCAGAAGACAGCTGAAACCAGTTAATCATACAGAAAATAAGATGCAGGTGTGGGATAAAACAAAGTTTAAATACAAAGAACAAAGCAGCATCTTATCAAGCTACAAATGGTGAGGCATTCACCTCAAGTAACCTTGAAGCAAAAGCATGCACGTCCATTTGCCTAGGAAGCCCCCCTCCATCTGAAAACTGCCAATCAGTCGTGATCCTCACAAGTTAACCAACTTTTTGTTATTCTAGTTAGCCATGTACTAAGATCAAGTACTGGTACATGTTTGGCTTCCCCAGCCTCAAAGGTTGAATCATAGTTATGAGACCTTTTGAGTCCAGCACTGTCCTAATTATTCCACTCTATTTAATAACTAGTAGATTGAATTTTTTAAAAGTTACAAGTGCATTACAGTTACTGTGCATTAGCTAGGTTGCGCTTTGATTGATTTCAGCTGGAGATGCAGACGTGTTGGTCACCTACCACAAGACTGTACAGTGTGGACTTTCAGCTCAGCAGTTGGTGAGTGCACATTTAAGCATGGAAATATAGGACTTTTAGAGCCACTGGAACCATCTTGTTGAAAAGTTATTTTCAAATTGAATAATATAGATCTTTGTTTATGTCATGTTATTTTTTATATTAACTTACATGTAGCATTTAGAATCTTTCGACAAATTGTCCATTTAGGATCCACTGGGCAGCATAGTGAATTTCCATACAGCTGCAATAATGGTCAGCAGGTATGTCAAATGTTACTCTTTTTGTTTATAGAATGTAACATTGTTTTTCATGTAATTTTTTTATTTCATATGCAAATGTACTGGTTTTGAGTTTTACAACGTCTTAAAAATTGTTTTTTTTGAGGCTCCCTAGAAGAATATCTCTACAATGTATCATTATTGAATTTTTTTCTTCTAGAAAACTTCACAGGGGCCATTTTACTCCAGCTCATTAAAAGAATATTATAAAAGGTGAGAGAGTGCCTGCAAGCATACAACACGTGCATGTCTTAGGGTTGTAGGAGGAAAATATTTCCAGAAAAAGTATCAAAATCTTGGTTGATTGATATCCACAGTACATAGTATCTTGTTATTTTTAGAGCTCGCTTAAATATCCACCTACGAAATAAAGGATCATGAAGCAAGCTGAAAGTTTTGCTTGCAGGAAGTGGCCACAACCATGGCAGGAGGGGTCCTGGTGTTTTTTAGTTGAGGTTGTGGGGGGAAGGGGGGGGGGGTTAATTAGGAGCCAAAGCTCTAAGGATGTAGAATGAATGTAGCAGTATTTCTGAAACAATTTCCTATCCCTTGCTCTGCGACCAGATGTCAAAAGCTTCGTGAATCAAAAGATGCAAAGTGTAGTGACTGTGGTGTGAGGTCAAACCTGGCATACTGTTTTGAATGTGGGTAAGTGAAACGAAAAGCTACAGGTCACACGAATTTCCAGCAACTGTTGATGATTGCTGACTGATCATTGATTACTTTTAAGAGAATAAAATACTTCATTTCTATTTTTCTTTTTTTGAAAATGATTTTTTCTTTTGTTGTCGTTGCTGTAAGTTTTTGTTTTGGTGTATAAACAATATACTGTGAAATATAAATATTACAAAACCAGAAACCAGCCTTTCACAACGTGGTACATAAGGAGAACGAAAGTCAAACAATGACAGGTAATTTGAATTTGTTTTCTAAAGCGGGATGGTTGTTTTTTTTTTTCGTTCTTTTCCAGATTAATTTTATGTGATGGCCGCGGACATCTTATCGATCATCTAATGGAGTATCCCAGTCATACGAAACTTTACTCCTACAAACTTCAGAGACAGGTTGGAGGTTATAAAGTTATGCGGTTAATGACTGAACATGTTAATTGTGGTAGTTGCAATGATAGTGATGGTGGTGATGATAACGATTCCATGATATTATTTTAATCCTTAATTGCTAATATTTGAATTAAAATTGAAAAAATTATGTATAAGGAATGTTGGGATGCTGTGTGTACCTTTGTTTTAGTTTTACGTCACTGAATCAAAAGAAAATGTTCTATCGTTGCATGATGCAGTGGAAACGTTCCGATCTACGTCATATGTGATTGCTTTGGGATATGGATTCTAGAACTCCATTGTCAGTATGTGTAACGAAGTTTCCAGAAATCAAGGGAACAATTTAGAATATTGATTCACCACATCGCTATTTTTCTAAGCTGTGCGAGAAACTTCTCCATATTCCGGAACATTCTGCTGAGGTATTTTAAGGATATGTCGTCTTTAGCGTCTAGAATGTTCTTACTGCTAAAAATACTGTTTAGAAATAGGTATAATGTAATCGGCTACTGTAAATAAGATTCGAGATCGTAAGATTTGGAAAGGTTTTTCAGTAGTTTAAGATACCAGTAAAGTTAGGTCGTAGACCGATAAAGTGTTTTAAGTGGAAAACAGGAATGTTCTCCTGGCTTCGTGACAGTATGTTCATGCTTTATTAAGAGGATGCAATACTTCTTCATACCCTAGCTGATGTGTTGTAATTTCTTTCCATGTTCCAATTTCTGACTCACAGATTGATTTGATTTTCAGATTAAGTGCTGTAAGTCAACTTGTGAGGTGTTGGACGCCACTCAGCTGTTAATGTGTTCTTCGTGTCTTGATAGAGTGTTTACAAGTCATTACTCCATGATTAACGCAACCTGGTAAGAATTTTCCGAAAAAAAATATTACCAAGAGTCAGAGAGAACTGTACCGATTACAAAGAGTGGACAAACAAATGTGCGAAAGCAGAAGCAACGACAAAGACGATATTGATTTTAAGAGGTCTTAGGACTGAGGCATGCGTATGTGTTTTGTTGCGCAGGTCTAGGACTGGACTGAAAGCGCTTCCCAATACTCTTGCATGTGAGCAGCATTTTCACTGGTAAGAAGAACAACAACAACTACGTTTAAATAAACTTCGTAGAAAATTTTTGCACAGCCAAGCCGTTTAAGTGAAAGTTGAACTAAGCTTCGTCGCAAGAACCGCTGATAACTTTTCTAAAAATCGATTTATTTTACTCTTCGTTCTCGCTCTGAAAATGCCTAGGTTAAGCGTTCAAGTGAGTCGCCTAATCTCTGTGCGTTGTTATTTCTCTACCAAAGCGTGATGCATTTAATTTTTTTTCGTTTTTCACCCAAATAATGGAAGTACCCTACCAAGGAATACTGAAATGCGGGTGATCTGTTGTTTCCAGGCATCGAATGAATTGCGCTAATCCTACCGGAGAGGTCCTGGTGACGAGAGAAAAGCTGGAGAATAATAGAGCGAGAGGCGACGGACTCCTGAGTGAATTTTATATCTAATCATATTTCGGATAAAGTAAGTCTTAGCCTGCAAGTGTATGTATTTTGTTCATCAACTTTCATGTTTTATATTCAGCATTTCCTATAAAATTGCCCCAAATCGCTGCGAATGCTTTAGGATGTTTACTTGATTTCTCTTTTGCGTCGTGCGAGCTTGTTCTTCCTCCATTGGTGACTTCCGCTCAAGTTATACAGACGCCAGTCCTTATCATCCATAACTGTCAGTTCCTAATTTTTCAAGACTATCCTACTCGCCCGATCATTCGACATAATCGCTTGCGAATAAACTCCCACCCCCGCATCCCGTTGAAACCACTGACTGGTCACAAGTCTTGCTATAAGTGAAAATTTGGAAAAAAATCAAATGTACAAGTACAGAATAAATGAAAATAGTTTCTCCCATCTCAGTGTGAACTGGGTAGATATCGCAGGAACTTCCAATTATCGACTGCCATCTGTATTCTTAATTCTTTATTTTAACAACATACTACAACCTCCGTGAACGTATTGTTTTAAGTTTTTTCTCAGTCTGTAGTTGTTTTTGATACAGTTCAATTGGTAAGCTATGCTTTGGATAAAAAGAAGAAGAGAAACAAAATTGATATCCAAAGAAAAAAAACCGGGTCACATAAATTATAATTAGGCAGGTTGTTCGAACAGGTGTAAGTGCAATGAGGCTATACTCTATTGTATTACTTAAAACCTTTTATCCAGATAAATGAAGTACCTTCTAAAGTTATGCAGCTCTTTTGTCACACATCTTTTTCGCGCCTAGGGAGAAAGAATACAACAAAGAAAAGAGAAAAAGGAACGGTTTCTCTTAAAAAAAAGAAGAGAACCAAAAGAGGAGACACCCGGTTAAGATGACCGTTACAAGGAAGGATTACCTGATGGAGAATGACATTGCATAGACAATGAAGAATTTACCCACGTTAACTAAAGGAGAAAAAACGATTGGTTGGTAAGGGACTTTAAGAGAGGAAGTATTGAAAAATATCTTGTCTCCAAGGAGAGGAAAAGGTTAGACCTCAGGAATTCGTAAGGACACTTTTGTCTCCAGGCCAAGGGAGAAAAAGAAATACTATACAAACAAAAGACTGTTACCCAAGGGAGAAAGAGCACTGGGAAGAAAACTGTAACCTCCACTCTGGGAAGTATTTCATTGAATCTTTGTAACCGAACTCCCTTAAGCTACGTCATACCACGCACATATCTATGTTAGAGAATAAAGACTAACAGCAAACAAATAAAAATGTGACTGCATGTTACTTATAAGAATTACTTTGAATGAAATAATCCTAATCAGTGTGTAAGTCAATCGTCCTCCCTAAACAATAGAATATGAATTTTCTCTAAAAAAGCAGCTGTCCCAGCTGTCCCAGTTGTCCCGGTTGTCCCAGTTGTCCCAGTTGTCCCAGCTGTCCCAGCTGTCCCAGTTGTCCCGGTTGTCCCAGTTGTCCCAAGTGTCCCAGAAGAAGAGAAGTCAACATTTATTTGGTGCGTTGTTTATTTATACATCAAATCTCCATTGTTTTGCTTGTGACGTACATCAAAACTCCACTGTCTTGTTTGTGACGTAACTCGGGAATTGGTATATGGAGCATAATCCAGAATTTGGCTATGTTACCTTTCATGAAACCGGGGCCATCTAGACAAAACACCATATGGAATCAAACCGTTCATGTACTTTGCCGATTAGCATTAAAGCATTCTTTAATGTAAGTAGACAATGTAGTAACAATGCAGTAACAGAAGTAACAATGCAGCATTTAATGCTTCCAATTCGTACTCACTAAACCCCGAGCATGCGGAAGTATCTTAGATACAACGGTCTGAGTTTGACATTTAACCAACATTGTAATAGCGTGAAGATCACCGAAAGTATGGGAATTTTTTGTTTCAGTTTTATATTCTAACTGGTTTTCATTGTCTGGGTGGCTCCAGTTTCAGTAAATGCACTTTAAAATGAAGACAGGGAGAAAATCTGGTTTCATCCATTCGCCGACCAACTTACCAAACTTTCTACAGCTGTGGTAAGTTTCCGATCTACACGATTTTAAGATATTGTTGTGTACTCTTTGCTCATTAAAAAACTCAATAATTCAACTAAATTTAAAAATCTAGTGATTAAAGTAAGCCACAATAGAACTTAAAACATTGCAGAGCTGAAATCAATATTAAAAGAAATATATTAAAAGCAGTTAAACATAGTTATAGTTTCTAAAGAGACTGTTGTGCAAAACCGACGCGAAAGCAAAAGTCTTTTTTCTGTATCAGCGTTTTAAGGGGTGAAAGAGGACTTATCACCGAGTGCATAGCTGGTGAGCTACATGTGATGCAAGTAATAACAAAATCTGATCTGGACTCAAGTTTAATCAATCGTGTTATAAAGAGATATCTCCTTTCATGCTCTTTAGCTCTGAGTGGCAACAGTTCATAACTCACTTGAAAACGGACCAGCCGCCTTCCTTTCGCAAAGTACATTTATTAGCATTTTCGCCATTCCGCAGACTGTTTTGAACTTGGTCACGAGCTCTAGCTTGATACGACTGACTTACGAAACGCGTATGATTAAATTTAGTGCTTTATGCAACAGACCTTATTTTCTTTCGGTGAAACGGCGTGAAAACCCATGCGAGATGTTGAGAGGAAATATTTGTCGGGACAATGGTCAGTAGATCCCTTCCCTCCCTCCCACAGTTAATTGACTTTTCCGGTGTTCTTACAGGGGCGGATCCAGGAATTTTGATTGGGGGGGGTCCAAACTTTGGTTCAGAAAGGACTGTTGAACTCTTTTGAGGCAAATTACTTCTCCCCCACAACCCCCACATTCCTTCCCAGTAGTTGCGGTTGCACGTTATAATTCCTTGGCCGCTTACCGTTTACTTGGATTCATTTTAAAAAAATCAGCCAGTTAAAAAGTGATATACGACCCTATCGATGTAAGAATTTCAGTCTCAAAGTTCTAAGCGTCAGGTCTGATGGGGGGGAGGGGGGTACGGACCTCCCGAACCCTCCCCCTGGATCCGCCACTGTCTTAGAGCATCCTAAGAATAGTAAAAGGTAGATTTTCGTCCAATTGTAGAGCGCTTAGGATCCAAGTGATGTAAAAATTTTAATTTCCTATTGGGCAAAACGATTCTACATAAACCTTGCTGCAACTCTTGTCGTTGATTGTTTAAGGGGTGAAAATCCCTTTTGTGCTATGAAATGACAAACCTTTAGAACCGAGACTTTTTTTTGTTTTTCATATTAAATTTATTTCCGTCTGAATTCTCGCAAATTTTATTCACACAATGAATTACATTTAAAGGAAAACTCTTGCTCTCGATACATGTAGATTGAAAAAACTTTGGGGAAAATAAACTGACAATAAAAATCTAAAAATCTATACAGAAAAAAGATAGCGAAAGGCAAAAGATTTGAAACTGCAAACAGTCCTAAAGTTCAGCATTTTGATTGGAAAATCGTCAGTTATCTTTTATTATAAATTAAAACGCCTTATATATGTTTAAAAAACGGTGCTGTTATATCAAATCTTTTCCAATGGCGTGCTGCAAACATAATTAATCGGCATCACGAAATACCTTATTGAAAAACCACAAAATCATATCGCAATATCAGCCAAAAAGGAAAAAGAAAACAAATTAAAAACTCACGATTAAAAAGATTTTATCCTCTCTCAGTTACACGGGGAACCATTGAAAAATGGAATATCTATCAAATCGTTTCATCCAAAAGTACCTCACTTTCGCAGCCGTCTGACCACAATCTCAAAGTCTGCTCATGGTTACATCGTAGAAATCTCCTTCATTTTAAATGGTTCGTCAAAGTCTATTTAATCATTTATTTCGAAAACTTATCTTCCAGCCTTTCCTTATTTCTTTTAAGGATTTAAATTCTTTACTTGTTACAGCAAACCTTATCTGGCTGTGTCTCTATCAATAGGGTATGGTTTCCTTGAGAACAGGCCACTCACGATGTGGCTGCTAAAGACATGCAGCCAAGCCTTCTCAGCCCAGGAGGAAAAATGGGCGCTAGTTTAAGCTTTTGGGCCCCGTTCACTTACATCGTTGCGTAACTTGGCCGCTGTAAAAAGATAAGAGCTGTCGATATGGCCACTGTTGCAATAAAAAGCAACAAAAAGAAGCGGTCTATAACTTTGGCCACTGATTCCCATTCCTCTTTGATCTCTTCGTCTTTTTCCTGTTCTTTGGCTCGTTCGGTTAGCACGTTAATGCCTTCCAGGAGCTTTTCCTGCGAAGAAGGCACTCTGTGTCTGATACTATTGTCGTTTACAGAGTTGATGAAGTCTCGTGAGGTTAGGATCTTCTCGCCGACCTTCGGCGCGATGACAAGTACATCCCTGGGGCTTCCATCCCTTTCTATATTGTTTCCATTGTGTTCGGGCATGATCGGGCTGTACGAGTGAATATTCTGATTGCTCGGGCCGTGGAATTTTCGTTGAGGCCTCTCCTTGGGTCGGGTGACTCGGAGAATAGGCGCCAGGATATCGATTAGAAGAACACGCACCCATTGTGGCACTTCAGAGCTTGGTCCGGTGGCTTCGTAGATGTTCAAGACGAAACACGTGGCAATCAGGGCTAGTCCAATCTCGACCATGGAGGCGACGAAGAATTTGCCGATCAAAGGTGTGACGTCTGAAGTGGTCGGAGTGTTCTCGGCAATCATCAGCATGAAGACAGTCATCGCCAACAGTGTGGTGATCACGAGGGTAACTCTTTCCCCGGTGTTGGGTGGTAAAACGAAAGTCAGGAGAGCAAAGGCGGTTATGAGGAAACAGGGAACGATCAGGTTGTTAAAGTAGAACAGCACCTTTCTTCGGATGTGCAGCGTGAATATCACATTTGGATAGGGCTCTGGGCAACAGCTACGCACATGAAAATGGAAAAGGGGGGCTTTTAGTAAACTGTTCTTCGAAAAGAGTTATGAAATACTGATGATATCTCTTGTTATTATGCGGACAAACCCCCAAACCCCCAGTCAGGGCGCCTGTTTACCAAACCTAGATCAAGGAGGATGCGGTTGAAGTGTGAATGATGATAACGTTTTGGGATCTTCTAAAAGTCCCTTTAAACGTTTCTAGAAACGATTGGCCAGCATTTGGTTAAGTTGACATTATTTGACTTGCCATGCTTACCTGTACTTGACAATAATTCTCTTGACGGGGGCTTCTACCATTTCAAACTCACCACTCGACATGTAAGAGGCAAGATCAACTGAATTGCTAGCGTTCAATAGGTCAACTCGGAGTCCGTCGTACGTCCATGAACCGAAGTGGAGATCACATTTTTGGTCGTCAAATGGGAAGAATTTGATGTCAATGGCACAACGACTCCTTAAGATTGTTGGGGCATACCTAATAAAATCGCAAAGCGTACATGTGGTGTGACTATTTTAAATTCTTTACTCCGTGCCTTACTTTTTGGTCTTCGTGTACGGTTAAAACTCGGAGAATTCCCGTAGATATTCAAATCTCAGATATGCTGATGTCCCTGTTGGACTAAGCTGCAGTTAACTCATTGTTGAGTCAGGCTGCATAGTCTTTAAAGTTCATAGGTAACTAGAGTTCTGCATTTTCTTGCAGATACTGGTCTTTCTGTATAATCTAATAATTGCATGAAATGATTGATGAAACCCAGCGTAACCAGCCCTGATCGGCGGTCACGTAATTCAGAGTGGAAAAGAATTAAAGGGCGATTGCTGAAATAAGAGTCTGCGGTCTACTATAATTACAGTCTTCGTGGTTTAGTGTCCCTTGCGTATCTATTGAAAGTTTTATCTCGCGCGCGATCGGCTAAAAAAGCACGTGACCAAATATGCTTCTGCATGAGTTGAAGAATATCCGGTAATATTCCCAGTTTTAAAACCCAACGTCCAAAGCGATGAAAGTCTTAATCTCTTTCTAATTAATTACACCCAGATAGATTCCTAAATTTACCATACTTATATTGCTAACACTTAGTCTTATTGTCAGCTTACCAAGTGTTGGTACCATCGCTGGACAGAATCACTTTCGTTTTAAATTGGTCCATATTACCGCTTGTTATTCCTGTATTTGCACTGGAGAATGCACAAGGAAAAAAATTAGAAATTTCTAAAAAGAAATTCTTACGCTATCAACAGTATTTGCATGGCTTTTTGCAGTTTTTGTTTTTCAGCTTGGGAGGTTAAGAGAAATCCAAGAAGGAACAAAAACTGGAAGGTGATTTACAGATGAGTTTTCTCACCCTCGTGTATAGTCTTGTGTTTTGTGTGCGCACTCAATTCAAGCATTATCATATGTCTGGTGACCAAGTACGTTTATGGTCGCCAAACAAATGTGGTTTACCTAAAGCGCAGATCTGCCAAGGATCCTTACATTTAATTGATAAACATTTCAGCAAGGTATCACCTCCACTATAACGGTATGGTTAAGCAGAATTCGACTTACTTGTTGTAGAGCACAATATCTGGAAGCCACACTAATTTGGGATCTACGTTGATGGACTTAATACCGCCATAATGAGAAGCATTCCAGCGCAACAGGTGATTGTTCCATTTCTACAGCAATTGGTCAAAGAAAGTAGAAACACTGAATTAAAGCTAATAAACTTTTCCTCAGACGTACCATGTCGGAAGGTTTTTAAGCAGTTAGCAAGCGTAAGAGGGATTTTTTTTGTCAAAAGAGATTTGCTGGATGGAAGCTAGAAATGGGACACTTTAAAATGGGAGTTATTGCTCGACGTTTCGTTTTCTTCGTAACGCCGTTATCAAAAGTTAGTATTTTAGTGTGTGCCGCGCTTAGTTTCTCTCCCACAGAGGAAACAATGTCAAGGTACAAAATTATCTCAACAGTATTTTATTTTACTGGTTGAAATAAGAAGAGAGCGTCAGAATTACTTACTTGTCTTATCCAAACGTTACTTGTCAAAACTTGATTCTTTTCATCCTGTGATGAAACGATTTCGAAAGAAAATATTAGCAACAAATTCCTACCCGATAGCCATAGCCCTCCTTAGAGGCCTGTGGTAACATATCGGTGTGCAGCAGTAATTTGTCATGTCTTCGATGCTCCATACAATCCTAAGTACTAGAAAAATTCCGCGCAGGGTGCGAGTGTGTGGGGTTCAGAAAAAGTTGGTTTCACTTTGATAAAAGCTTATAGGCTTAGGGTTAGGAATGAAGCAAAAAAAGGCGCTTTTTTCAAGGAGTTGGGAGCTTCTTGTTCTGAAAAAAATAAAAGGAAAAGTTTTAATTACAGAATTTTTTTTGTGTTTGTGTGCCTGCGTGTGGCCATATTTCGCGGCCTACTTAGGTTGAAATTTTCAACACCTACTGATCATATGGTAAAGCGCTTATTGGCTAAGTTTGGTCGGGCCGGACGAGAAAGTATTTGGCCATCGGTCATGAGGCACGGAACTCACTGTGCTCGTTCCTTACGCTATGATTTTGAGCCAAATAATTTTCCGTTCGGCCCCACAAAACTCAGTCAATAAGTACTTGTAATGTGTGTAATATTATTCGGCGAAATCATTGCAATCTTGATCGAGAACAGGCTTTTTGTACCTTCTTTAGTTCTTTAAGTGTCTTTTTTTAAAGTTCGTTTTCATTCCGCGTTCGCGAGAACGAATCCGTCAAATAGAGGTCGACCTACTTTAAGTAAGTCATTTAGTATGGCTTACTTAATCAACTTTTTAAAGTTGTTTTAACAAACATTGCAGGAAAACGAGCAGGAAAACATTGCAGGAAAACGAGCAGCAAATGCGCAGAGACCATGCTACACAGTATGGCATCGGAGGAAAGTCAATCAGAAAGGGTCGATTTCCTGTTAAATCTCTTACACACTTTTGTGTCCAAGAATGTCTCCATGAAGACAATTTCTGAGTCGGATATTTCAGCCATGATTCGATTGTATCGTGGAAGCTGTTTGCGCTCGCCTTACAAATTCTTCTATTTTGTAATAATTTGGATATATCAACAAAGTTGAAATGGTAAATTGGCCACCGTAAGGATTACAAAAGCTGTCGTTTCGAGCGTTAGCCCTTCGTCGGATCGAAACGACAGCTTTTGTAATCGTTACGGTGGCCAATTTACCATTTCAACTTTGTTGATATATCCAAATTATTTCGTTACTCCCACCGACGCAGCCCCAAACAGTTTCTTTCGAATCTATCAGCCTTTCTTCTATTTTGTGTTTGGTTGTGCTCTGCAGACAGAAAACGTTGTCCTATTACCCCTTCCAAACTAGCGGTTTAGTTGCGCTCTAGTTGATAATGAATTTTTTTCACTTATGCCATGAAAATATCGGCAAAAGCACCGGCCGTTCCGTGGGAAGAAGCGGCGTTCCCGGATATCAACATCGACGGCGTGCAAAGGATACTGGTTGAGCGCGGCCCTTTAGGAAGGTGATGAAGGAGGCGGGCCACTTTTTTGACATTATGCCTTGGGGGTGGGCGCTTATTCGTGGAAGGGTGCTTGTTAGAGAGTAGGCGCTTTTTCGAGAAATACGGTAAATTACCTTACATTACTTACCAGTTCGACGAGCTGAGTGTAGGCAATACCGAAGACAACTTTGATTGCAGCGTTCTTGTTCTTTACTGGTCTTACTTCCTTGCTGTAGTTATCAAACAGTTCTTTGACCAACCTAAGTTCGTCGTCGTCTCTTTTCGTGATCGCATCTGTTATCAAAAATAAGTTAAAAGTCATTGGTTAGTGCGAGTTTTGTTACGTCCCTCATGTTATGATCATGTTATGTCTCGTCAACTTATGTCACGCTTCAACTCATGTCGGACACCAATGTTTTCTTTCCTTGACCATCGAAAAGTTTTAAACTGTCGAATCTTTTTTGTCAATGAAAGCAAGTTATATAGATTCTTAGCTTCTTAAGTATCTCAATGACCCGTTTGACCTCTTCTCGAAAAGAGCGATATGTACAAAGACTGTTTGTCATAATTTCCTCAAGTGCTGGCCTGTGAATTTCGAAGACTTTTGGACTAATTTTACTTTATTTGATCCAGTCTCCCACTCTTCGAATTTAGATAGGGTTTAATCTTAAAACGACGATATATTGCCTTTTCGTGTGCTTTTCACTCTGATTGTTTGAAATGGATTGATATTATTGAAAAAAAAAAAACAAAAGAAAAGAGGCCGTTGCATGTATTCTTGACAAGGCCTACATTGTCAATTTAGTTGTGGCAGCATTTAAGGCCCTTTTCTTGGGAGAATAAATCACTATGTTTTAACTTGAACAGAAACCAGTTGGAAAGCTTCCAGTTAGTTGGAAAGATAATCCGGCGCGATTTTTGAAAGAAAGTTTCGGATTTCAAGTGAGGGAGAAAAGTTTAGTAGCATAGAAAAAAAAAAAAACACAAAAACAACGCGAAGACCAATTTCTATATTCTCTGAATTAAGTAAATCGAGGGTTCTAGAACAGGATTCGAAGAATGTATCGTAGCTGGATAACAGAGAACTCTAACAAAAAACAGATATTAAGCGGGATATTAAAGCCTTACTCAGTATATGAGGTAAAAAATTTAGACCAGGTTTTCACTTTAAAACCGCAAACCCATTTCCAACTACAGTGTAGAATTAGAATTTGAAACTCAGCTTCATTACAGGAAACCAGCAGGAGGTAATGGTTAAATGAAAAAAAAGAGTATTTCTTGAATAAATTGTGCGAATATTTAGTGAACACTGATCTTGTGGTTAAAATTGTAAAGCCGGGAACATGCTTGCGATAATAACAGCACATAGACGCTCTTGAAGCAACGAGGAATATCTACGATGATTTGAAAGGGTCCGGCCACTTTTGCCAGAAAAAAGAAAAATGTAATTCTAGGAGGGATTATGAAATAGTCGAATATCCTGACCTACCTGCAATTGCTGTGAAGGTAATTAAAAGAAAGCCATAGAGAATCGCCAAGTGATAGCTATGCATCTCGATCAAGAGATGAAGAAATGCCTCAAACTGCGCTCAAAGGCCAATGTATTGAGTTTCCAAAAAAGTTTAAACTTAAATCCGAAGACTGGTAAAATTGTTTTCTTCGCGTCGAAAATCCATTTGAAATTTAGAAGGACTGATAATTAATTTTGCCACACCTGATCCACCTTAATCAAACTTAGAATATTGATGCAAATAAATGGAAAAGCCACACGAGTGACGTCATGGTATAAACAACCTATAGAAGTGATCGCACGAATATCATAATGACGCCATAGACGCGTCGTTCAAGAGAACTCTTAAGAAAGTCTGCTCGAGAAACAATGATCTATGTTTATATATCTTTTGGTCACCGCTGTGCCTCCTTACGAAACTCGCAGCGGTGGCAAAGATTCTCATAAAGTATTAATGAAATGTAGGTAGCTTTGTGGTTTCAAACGAGCCAATTAACGCTAATCTTCATCTCCTTGCAGTTTCTGAATATAACACATACCCTGATCTAAAAAGAAACGTGTTGTTACATCTGCATGGTGGTTTACTTTCGTTCTATGATACACGTATCATTTTTCTTTCAGAGAAATAGGGGTTTAACACCAGGACAGAATGATTTAGATGTTGGACCGCAAGAGGAAAATAAAAAGAACTGCCTGAAAGGTATGATTATCGTAACTGATTATAACACCGCTTCTTTGGACTGTGTCAGACATGGTAATTATTAGTATTTGTACCGCATTTGAATTCAGCTGGTTAATCACTAGAAAAGAAAGATGTTCTCTTAAAAAAAAAAATCCCTGTTCATCTCCCCTTACGACTTTGTTGGTTATAATCCAGTGGAAAAAAGAATGCGAGGATCATTAGCCTCATAGACAGAAGAACGCACCAATGACAACGCTAGATTAATGACAACTTAAGTAGAGAATCAGTAACATGACTTCTTTGTTCCTCGCATCTCACTGAGTCACATTCGGCAGAGTCACAAGCGCCATCGATAGAATTGGAAACACTCCCATTCTTGCGACTTTTATGTGCCAAAACATGGCTCTTATCATATTTAGTATTCAAATTCTAATTTCTACAAGGTGGTAGGCAATTACGCCATCATGATTTTGCCGCCGGTTAAAACTGACACTACCAAATCAATCTTTGCCTGCTGTCGAAAAGATATACTTTTTTTTTTTGTCAAAAACAGAAAATAAAATACATGATAGGCACGTTCGCTGTAAGTTACCTAGGCAATTAAGATGTGTTTTTTAGACTTGTTTGGAAAACAATTTCCACCGACAGTTTAAGGAGGATCCACGATTTTGATCGTGCCATATCTTTCCGCATAGATTTATGCTAACGCATCAAAAATGGCTCTCCTCTGTTTTGGTTGGAGCCCCAGAAATTAAGATGAGAAAAGGTATGTTAGAGTCTTCAATCGGTTTACAGGATAATTTACGTAGTCATGTTTCTCGCAACTCTATTTGACTTTCATTGTGCTTTACGTAATTTTTTTTTAAATCGACAAATGCACGGTAAACGCCAAACCACATATATGTTTCCAGGGATGAGAACATCTCTTTTCACCTGGACCGTAAGGGTTTCATTGTACTTCAGGCAATTTCTCTACCGATAAATGCATGAAAAACGTCCAACCGCATATATGTTTCAAGAAAGCGACTTATCTAAGCAGAAAGGAATAGTCGCAACTAGCCAAATTTATGCCTCACATGAACATGTTTTGTCTTTCACATATCATGAAGCATGGGGCCTCGAGGTTGACATATGCGCACGTAGGAAGGCAGTCTGAAGTAAATTCAAGTCGAAACATTGCAGGGCAACGAGAACATGCGATATAAACAGGTCACTTCAACAGTCTTTCGGCATTCAATGCTAATTAAGGATGAAACACGAACTAAGTTTCCCCTGAAAAGAATTGCTAGTAGAGGGAATTCTGGAAGGAATATCTATTTAGCTGGAGAATGTCCAACGGCTGACCATAGCCAATTTACATTAATGAACATCACTTCCAATAAGGGCAGCAAAGTCACCAAAAACAGGATGTGAAACATTGCCTATGCATTCTTATATCGCTTAAGTTGACATCGTAATCATCTTTATGTTAAAAAAGTGGGCGCCAGTTTTTGTCGCACCTTGAGAATAATTGTTGCTCTTTTGTAAAACCAATTTCTCAATTACCTTATGTACTAGTCTTAATTTCAGCCCATTTTTCATTCGTCAGTAAAATTGCTGATGTAAGATATCAGCTGTCAGTCAGATATGCGTTATTTCTCAATAAACTGTTAAAATTTTGACCGATTCTCACCGAACAGTTGAGTCTCACGCAGGAACTGAACATGCGAAAGTCTTATGTGCTAGTCAGCGGACTTACCAAGAAATCAATAGCAATGGAAGGGAGGAGTGACCGAGTGACGCAGTGATGGATGCGAAGGAGTGAATTTTGTGTAATGACAACAACCCGGAAATGGCTTTCAGCGATTTTACGAGTTAAAAAAGGAGTGTTAATTTTTATTAGAATAACATATCAATTTTATATCAAGGACTGTGCACTTACCACCTTCCCCCCTTCTTTCGAAGCCTAGGGTATCTTGTAAATGATATATTTAGCCCATTGCAGAAACGTGTTAGGACTGGGACGAGTTTCTTATATTGATTACATTGAAAATCTAAACATTTCAACTGAAATGTTACTGAATGAAAAGCTACCCAGCCAAGTTTGAGAGTTTTCTGCGAAAAAGTGTCCAAATTGGAGCCTTGCAAAAGTTGCAAAATTTTCATACAAACCCTTCAAATTTTTTGCCCTGTCTACCCAATCCATACAAACTCTCTATCTTAGGTCATATTTGAAAAGCTGTCATTTTGCCATTTTCCTCTTCTAAATACTTCTATTCTTGCTTAAAACTCAAATTTAGTTGATCTTTCATTTGAATATCTTAGTTTTTCAAACAAACGGAAAACAACCACACTCTTTCCCAGTCCTCTCACGTTTCTGCAATGGCCCATTGCCATTCTTCTCTTCATCGTTATTTTATTATTTTTTTTTTTTTGCCGTCCCATGCCTTAGCACAACTCAGTCTGAAGCCTGAATCGCACTCCTCCTAATTCAGTGGTTTAAGGGAAACAGGGAACATTGCTGAGTTGGCTTCCTGAGCGAATCTGAATGAT